AAGCTGAGGTGATAATTTTTTTTAGATTACACAAAAAAATCATAGACTTAGAAAAATAAAAATAAAAATAATAACAAGAAACCAAGTTAAGGTCAAGAGATATTCATCCAAAAGAGGAATTATGACCTTGTAGAACCTCCTCACAACATCAAAATTAGAGATAGAGTCATTCATTAGAGCATACTTTAACTTCACGGATATTCTCTCTAAGCTAAGCCTTAGCACCCTAGCTTCAGGGTTCTTAGGAACAACGAAAAAGGTCTTCACTCATGGTCTTTTGGCTAGAAAAAATGGTGTTAGTACTGATGTAGAGGACAGTCCTAACCTGCCTTAGTTTTTTACTTTTGACATAAAAGAGAGTGAGGTATAAAGGTACTAACCACCTTCTCTCCCTCGCAAGACGTGGCCCTGAGTTGGATCTTCTTTTGGCCCATTTTGGGCATCGAGGCATGTTGGTATAACGAGACATCGAAGTTCTTATCATTGGCCATCTCTACAAAATAGAGCTAATAATTAGATGAAAAATTAACTTAAACAAAACCATATAAGTTATTTCAAATTTACCCCAATACTTTATCTTGCTTATTACTTTCGGGGAGGTTAGCCTGTAAGCATTGATAATGAGTTTTTCCTATGTATAAAATCTAAAATCTTATTTAGATTTGATAGATCAATGATGAAAAGGGTCACCAACATGTCCACAAAGGAACAAGTGTACTTCTTATTTCTCAGGCCTCAACATTGAGCTTACAATCTTTATTTGCCTTTTGTTTTTCAAGGTATAGAAAGAGTAGCTTTTAATTTTTTATTGAGCTCAGATAATCGATGAGAAATTTTTTATTTGGCTGAGCTGTGAATAAAATCACTTGCTATCATTAGGATATTTTTTAAAAGAGAAAAACTCCTTGAATAGAGAAAAAGAATAAACAATATTTAGTTATTGGCAAAGAATAATAAAAGCAACTATGTATCGAATAAAATTCAAGGTGAGCTGAATGATGGTCAAATTATAAGAATTAAAAATTAAAATGAATAAATAATTAAGTAAAAACCTCATACCAGCCATGAACGAATCCTAATATACATAAAACTGATATGGCTCTAGTCTATCAATGACTTGAATAGAATAGAATATACTGAATATAATTCATGTGAGTTGAATGATGGCCAAATTGTAAGAATTAAAAATTAAAATGAATAAATGATGAAGTGAAAACCTCATACCAGCCATGATCGAATTCTAATACACGTAAAGTTGATGTGGCTCCAGTCTATTAGTGACTTGATTTGAGGAGTTCAACATTATTTTACATATGTGTCTTTAGAAAAATAAAAAGTGATACCCAAAGCACGAACGTGATCTGTTGAGCACATGTTAGGACAGTTTTTTAAATTTGTCCTATTTTTTAGTTTGCTCATCACATCATTAGGGATCATATTGAGGTCACATGGAGTATATATAGGGACCTCAACGAGTTTGTCATGTACCTTAAGACTCTCTTTCTTGCCATCACTTTCTCCAATCGAGGTGCTCCCTTCTTCTTATTCTTTTTTAGAACTCCTTTGTTAGAAGAATCTGACTTTTGGGTGAAAGACGAATCCCGAAAAAGAATAATGGATGAAAGTAACTCTATCTCGAAGTTAGAATGATGAGGTAGAGGCCCATCAAAAGAGTTAAGATGTCCAAAAAAATTCATTAAAGGAAAATAGTAGAAGTGGCAGAAGGTAGAAAAAATTGAACCCCAAAAGAGGAAACGACTGAAAAGTAATTAAGGTTGACCATAGAATATGAACCAACCTGAAAGATGGGGAAAACATGTGGATGTTAAAGTTCAAAGTTGATATGAGCACACAGTTCTTTTGTGCTAAAAACTTGTTCACTTCTTGCCCGAGCATTCTCTTCATTACGTCGTTGCCATTCCTCAGATATTGGGTTAAACCAATAAACCGTCTTTGCATAGTTACGACAATAAAAGAGATCAGGTTGTCATCTTGCTATCCTCATTGACCTCCCGTTTGCTCTACCCTATAACTCTTAGCCTCTCCAAAACTTATACTATAGGACATAATTAGAAATATGTATTGAAATGGTTGTAGAAAAAACTTTGAAGGGTAGAAAGTTATTGAGATTGAAAATTTTAAGTCAGATTAAAAGCAAAAAAAATAAAAGGTGAAAAGTTAAAGCCCTACCAACCCTTTATATAGGCATACTACAGACTAGATGGATGACACGTTTCATGCCACATGTCAGAGCACAGGTAGGAAGGCATATTTTTATCTTTCTGCTTTAACTTATCTCGTTAAAACCACCTATCTCTTCATTTAATGTTGTCAGATTGGTTTAACTGCACAAACTGCCAAGTCAAACCATTTAAATCGAACAACCGTCAAGGCTAGATCGAGAGCCCGGTTCGCCTTCAAAGTCCAAAATAGATGCTTAAATCTAAAATTTTGAAAGAAAATATAGCTCTCACCATGGTCAAACACACTTTGGCACTAATCTCGAATCACCTCAAATAATTATAACCTCGACAACCTTTAAATCAATTATGCATTCAATCTAGAACATATGTGTGAGATCATATAACCATTAGGTCGGACCATAACTTAAAGCTAGTTATCATCCAAAATCGACCTCCCCTTGCTACGTCAGCTTTTGATGAACCATGCAACCAATCTGTCTTATATCAGAGATATCGATAATAAATTTGATAATTTGATACTTAGACTATCTGATGGGGGGAAAAGTGTTATGGGCATTTGATAGTTAAAAGGGTATAATGATCCTTTTTCCTTTATAAACCTTCAGTAGATAATCAAAGGTATCTTTGTCATTTGTACCGATCTGATGTCAGGTCGGCTTGATATGGTCAGTGTCACATCAACTCGACCTTGTCCTAATTGTCTCTTTATGGTCTTCCTCAACTTATTTATAAATATGAAAACTCAGGCATCATGAAGCTAGGTTCATCTTACTTACTTCTTTCTCTCTCTCCTTCCTATTTTCTTCTTCACTTGATCTTTATTGACTTACGTATTATAGTGCAAACGCAAGAAATACTCCATACTTTTACCTTTAATCGTTCTTCTCTCTACATTCACAGGAATACCCTCAAGTCAGAACTCGACACCAACATCAATAGTTTTACTTAATTTTTTTACAAACAAACGTTTATATTTGTTATATATCACTGGTTAGTAAAATTATTAGATCTGTATACTTTGACATAACAACATGTAAATATTTATATTGTGGTGTATCTATGCCAAGGTCTTTCAGGGTTTATTTGTATGAGCAATGAAATTAATTATGATAAAATTGAAAATAATAATAAAAGTTAATGTAATTGTGATTAAAAAGAAAAATTATTATAATTGCAATTAAAAAAATTTCAATAAAAAATTTATACTGAATAAATCTCATTAGAATAAAATTTTAAAATTAACTAGTAGTGGTTGGAGATTAATTGTACCTTATTGAAAGTGCAATTGCATCCAAACATAGGGTTAGTTTCAAAGTGAAATTCTAGTCATTGAAATTAAATAGAATTATCAATAAATGATATATTTAAGCGGTTAATAGAAGGTTTTTTTCTTCATGTTATTTGAGTTCAAATTTGTTAAAAGATTATGAGAATGTAATTTTTATAAATTTGTTAGATTTTATATAATATAAATAAATTTGTTTGAATTAATAAAAAATATGTATCAAACGAAATCCAAAAATTTTCTATCACTAAATAAAATTACCACTAAATAAAAAAGTAGAATTATAAGTTACTTAAAAATGAAAGGTTTGATTATTACTCTATGAGAAACTCTTGCAATTAATTTGGCAACAAAATGAGGAGGAAAAGTTACCTTAGGAAAACTTTTTGCAAGTCTACTGAATCAAAGACAGGGCGATTAGTCCAAAAACCATCGAATTAAATAAGTAAATTGTAACAATTACAAATATATTAAAATTAGACCCGCGTTTTAGTACGGGATTTTTTTATTTTTTAAAAGTTACGTTTTAAAAATGAAAAAAATAAATTTTTTATGTCATATTTTAATTGATAATAACATATAAATAAATATAAGTATATTTATTTTTTAATATAAATTATAATTTTGTTATATATAAATGTAATTTTTTATTAAATTAAGATATTAAATAATATTTTTATTAATATAATATATATAAATATAAATTGAATAAATAAATATATATATTTTTTGTATATCTCAAGGAGAATCCGGTAAAGCATCCCAAACCAAATCTTAATTTGATCTAAATTATTCAAAAATATAAAATTTAATTCAATTCTTATTTTTAAAAAATTACATTAATTAAATCATAATAAATTAAAATTTATTAGATGTATATTATTTTATCATTCATTGAGTTTTTTTTTAACAAAACTTTTTTAAAAATAAAATTTTAAAAAATAAAAAATGATAAAAATGCTAATTGAGATGATACGTGAATTTATTAAATTAAAATAATAAATAATATATTTTAAATAAAATATATATAAATATAAAATTAAATAAATAATAAAATACATATTTTATATATATTAAAATGAAAACATAATACCCATTTTAGTTGTTCGATTTTTAAACAAAATCTCAACTTAAATTGTCTTAAATTAAAAGAAATCATGTCAATTGAATTAAGCCAAGTTAAAATTTATGAGTACGAGTTATTTTATTATTTTTATATTAATTAATTTTTTATTATAAAATTTATTTAACTAAAAAAGCAAAAACTTCTAAAATAATAAAGAAAATGAAAAAAAAACAAAACAAAACCAGAGAGGTGCAAACACTTGAATTGGGATTGAATACTTTATCGGAAATCCGTCTTCAATTCAATCTCCTTAAAAAAAATCTCGACAAAAATTTTAAAAATCGCATCTATATTAAATTTTTATAAATCAAATTAAATCAAATATAAATTATTTTATTATCTACTTTCATTAAATTTTTTATAAATTTTATCTAATAAAAAAATAAAAAAATTCACGTGGGCAACCCATTCCCCATCTATAAAAGAACATTCCAGCCGTTCAGGAGTCACCGATTCCCCTTGTTAATCTAAAAACCTAAACCTTCAAGAAAAATCTCTCGTTGCAAAAACCAATATGCCTCGCCGAAACTCTGGTTAGTTTCTCATCTCATTTATGTCTAATTTGTTTGTGTTTATATAACCACAACTGCTTTCACCTCGTTTATCTTGATTTAAAATTTTTAGGGTTAGTCTTTCATTCCTTGATTTAAACAGATTTAAATTCGATTTAAAATTTCTAGGGTTAGTCTTTCATTCTTTAATTTAAATTGATTTAAATTTATATGGCCTGATTGAGTTATTTGGGTTTGCTTTAATTTTCCTTCTGTGCAAGATTTTTTGGGTTTAAAAACTTGGGTTGCTGTTGAATTGATATATTAACTACTATCACTGTTTTAACTTGTTATTGCCTTATTAGAACATTTCAATATGATATAAGTTCCTTAGATGGCGTTGCAAATATATGAATGTTTGTTTGTTAAATTTGTTTTAATTAGAGCAATGATATTTCCTTTTAATTGGGTGTCTCTCGAATTTCTGTTTCATCTTTTATGTGGCCTCTTTTTGCAGGAAGGTCTGCTTCTCGCCCAGCCCCTCGCCGTGCTCCTGCACGCAGCCCACCCCCTCAACCAGGTAAATCACGTTTTATTATTTCGTGTAAGATTACATAGCGCATATGCTAAGAGTTTCATCGATTGATTAACCTTGATACCTGTCGTTTTGGTACGAGGTTTGTTGCTTTGGTGGTATAAAATTGGATTTGGTCAGTAATTATATCTTTGAGTGTAATATTTAATTCTATTTAACTCTTTCGCTGCAGCTCAACATGCTCCTCCTCCAGCTCCTGTTCAGAGTGGAAGTGGTGGATCCTTGCTTGGAGGCATAGGCTCTACCATAGCTCAGGGTATGTGAATAGATGTGCTTCTGAGATGGTGGATTATGTACTTCACATGTATCTGGTTGCTCTGTCATGATACATTACTCTGATTTTAGTTAATTCTTATCTTTATCTCCATATTACAGGCATGGCTTTTGGCACTGGAAGTGCTGTGGCTCACAGGGCCGTTGATGCTGTGATGGGTCCTCGTACTATTCAACATGAAACTGTGGTTTCTGAGGCTGCAGCTGTCCCTGCACCAACAGCCACCACTAATAGTTTTGCTGGCTCTGATGCATGCAGCATCCATTCCAAGGCATTCCAAGACGTATGTGAACTTCAGTCTTTGTTACTTGGTTACATGATAATTTAGTAGTTTGTTAAAATGTTGATAAGTTTAGCTGACTGGAGCTTTGAATCAAAAGCATGATTCCCAGATTCTAGCTGTTTAATTATGCTTTCTGGATTTACAGTTTGCCTAATATCTTTTACTTGATTTGGAACAAATCACATAGGCCCCAGATTTTTTTTTAATTAAGTAGTTAAACCAGGGTTTTAATTCAGAGGTTTTTACACTTGTGGTAGACACCATCAGTACCAATTCATCATGTTAGTATGTATGATGCTGAACTCTTTTGTAACGTCTAGCAAAACTCATGTACTGATATTTTATTGTTCTTGTGTTTCTTGTAGTGCCTGAGCAGCTATGGAAACGAAATCAGCAAGTGTCAATTCTACATGGATATGTTGTCTGAGTGCAGGAAGAACTCAGGCTCCATGTTGGGTGCCTAATCTTATTCCATATTTGTCGCCGTGCAATGGAATGTCAGCTTTGGACTTCACTTTTATTTATCTTTGTTGGTTCAATAATGTCTATGAATACTCGGTCTAAGTGATATTATTTTCAGTGGTTGAACCCTTGAACCATAAACCATGGATGGAGAGCACTAATAGTTTCTCTCTTTAATATTTGATGAATAATTGGTAGCACAATATTTTTCTTGAGTATATAGTACTAATAGGCTTCAAGTTGGGGATCTTCCTGTCTTATAATATCTCTAAATAAAAATATATTCGCAACAAATACTGGAATCTTTGGCAAGGAGGATGAAAAACGATAAAGATGAAACATTTGTTAATTTATTTATTAAATTATAAAGTAAAAAAAGTATGTTAGGAAATTTAAATTATTGGATTAACAAATATTTTTTCATTAATTTTCATTCTAATAAAACAAAATTTAGTGGTGTGTTGGTATGAATTACTGAAGGAAGGATTTTATGTCAATTAAGTTTTTTAAAAATTTAAAATGAATTAAATTAATTAGAGTAAAATAAAAGGATTTCAAATTTTAAGAAGAATTTTGAAAGGGAGTCTCACAATCTCTTTTTTTTTTTTTTCTTAAATTTTCAAACTGGATTTAGGTTTTTTAGGGTGTTTTGGAGAATTCAATTGGATAGAAGGAAAGAGTAAATTTGGGTTGCGATGACCGTGGAAGCCGGCGGAGATGGCCATCTCTTTTGATTTTTTCCACTGTAAACAAAAGCCCAACGTCTTTGTTTTTATTTCATAATTAAATAAGGGTATTATGGGTAGCACATGGAGAGCATAGTTGGGGCTAAGGGCATTATTAACAAATCTTTAACGGCAGCAGGCCTTATTTGTTACTAATTTGTGGCCGTGCAATGCGCAAGTTACTGTTTTTATATATATACTAGTATGAGAGCCTAGCTTTGCGTTAAATTAATTTATAATATTTTATTTATTTAAAATAATTTAATATAAAATTAATATTGTTAAGTGTAGGACGATTTGTTAAAATAATTAACACCAAAAAATTGGTTAATATTAAACTAAATAGTAAATGTTAATTTTTATGAAAAAAAGTAAAATCGACCTAAGTTGTCATTAAACAAATCTTTTGAAAGCTTGCTTCATATAAGTCTAGCCTTTGTAAAGCTTAAAATAACTAACTTCATTAGCAACAATGATTAGAACAAAAAAGAAAGTTACTCTACCAATATTATAGCCAAGAATATGAAATCCTATTCTCACCTTTGAATGGATGAAAAATCAAAATTTTTTAATGTGATGTCATCAAATGCAAGTTCAGTAATATTCTTGAGATAAACTTTTGACATTGTATTCTTGCAAGCAACAAAAAAGCATTCAAATATAAACTTTCCTATTTTATATTGCTAATTAGATGCTTATTTCCCAATGCCCACATATTGACAAACATACGAGTAATAAGAAAGGCTTCTACACCTCGAAGAATATTGTTTGCAGATGCTAACCACCGAACATACTCACAACATATACATAGATTGCTAGGTTGAGCATCAACCTTAATAACCCAGAAAAGATTTAGATATTTGAGCAATAGGCTAAAAGTCCTCATAATCTGCAGAGGTTTATACTATAAATGTTCTACCATATTAGTGAGAATGAAATACCTTTAAAACTTGAAGGGCTGCAAATGCCTGTCCCTGAACCTGATTAACAATTATAAGAATTAGAACTTTCCCTTAATGAACCAGTAGAGCTATAGAAACTACAAATGGAGCAGGTATACCAGTAGAGGAGAAAGAATTCCTAGGAATTGAAGATTCAAAAACTAGTTTACTACCATTTAACTCTTTATAATCAATTTTGCTTTGCTATATGTTAATGGATGAACCGGTGTTGACACAAATGGTGTTTTAAATGACTCATTCACATTTAAGTTATTCACTTCCAAAGATGAGTTATTTATTCCAACTGAAAACTGCAACATTTTGCTACTCTCAAGGTTTTCTTAAGATGAAGATGGTTCTATGGTTTCCAAATTGTCTTTGGGTACAAACCAAGGTTCTATAATTAGTTCTAACTCTGAATTAACTAAAGAGCTCACAGTCATACATCTAAAAGTTAATCTACAATCCCTGAAACTTGCCTTTTAAACAATGGACATCAAAGTTTCCATATTTTTAAAGGTATGTCTCCTTTAGGAAATTTAAAAAAAAATGTTCAAAATTGAGAAATTCTTTAGAATCAGAAATCCTCTTCCCTGCTAATTAATTCAATCACTTAATTGTTTCTTTTCATACTTTTTTTTTTTGCCTTAGAACTACTTCTATTCAATATCCTTTCCCATCACATAATTTAATTTTCTCTATTAGTCAAAGATAACACAATACAAAGATCAATAATAATAAAAAAAATCTCAACTTCAGATGAATAAATTGATAAGCAAAAATAAAAAAACAAAAAACACATATTACAATTCATACTAATTTAAAAATATAATATTGAAATAGCTTGAAAAAATCGAGACAAAAAAAATCAATCAAATAATTTCATTCAAACAATATGCAAAACAAAAGACTCCTAAAAAAAGACACAAATTATGCATTATACTATATTCCTATAAAGAACAATTTAATTTTCATCAAACATTAGAATATGCAAAGATAAATTATTAAAAACAAAAACACACATTCACGACAACATACAACCATAAAAATCACAAAACCTAAAACTTGTTTAACTTAAAAATGTGTACCATCAAAATCATCTAAAGAAAACAAAAAAAAAAAAAAAAACCCACATTCAACTAAAAAAAAAAAAAACCAACAGATTTTACCCAAAAATAATAAAGCAAAAAAATAAGGAAAGAAGAAAAAAACCCAACAATCACATACCGAAAAGGCTCTCTTTCATGCAAAAGTTACACTGTCTGAAGCAATTCTAAAATAGCAATGAAGACCCAAAAACCAAACCTTCAAAATTTAAGCTTAAACATACATGTTGAAGTCAAAACACAGCTGTCAAAATAAAACAACATAAGAAGACACTTATAAATAGGGAAAGAACCTTATGCTCTTTAGTGCGAGTAAAAAATCTCAACTGACTTCACCAAAATAGCAAAACATTGTAATAAAAAAAAAGACATGTGGCAAGCAAAAATCCCTCAAGGGATCATTTTTATATAGGGTATATTGATATATATATATATATATTATTTATACATATAAATAATATAGATTTTATATATACATATATCTAAGTGTTATCTAAGAAAATAAAAATTTTAAAACATTCAATAAGCAATATCGTTAATGAAAAGAAAGTAATGTATCTTATAGAAAAAAATTGGATTAATTCAATATTACTTTATTAATTTTGCATTATTTATATTTATTTAAATTTAAGATAAGTTATTTATTCTTTTAAAAAAATAAACTTATATATTAGATTTATAATAATAACTTACTTCCATATAATTATTAACCCAAATGAATTTATGAAAATTCAGTTATAAGATTCAAATACACAAAAAGATTTTATCTGAAAAATAATTTTCAAAAGATATAGTACAATAATTTGAAAATTATATATATAAATATTAAAATTTTCATTAATTCTATTTTCATTGTTTACCTTTATTATGGGAGTGGTTGCAAAATATTAAATGAGTAATTACTACTAATTTAAATATTTCACTAATTTCAATATTTTCAGTATAATTAGTTTTAATTTTGTTAATAGTCAATCTTTATTTTTTTAACTAATTTGAATAAAAAGTTGTTTTTTATTATTTATCTTAAATTACTCTCAATTAAAATTCATATAAAAGATAATAAAACTTTAATTGACATCATTAATAGCAAATTCTTTTCTTTTTCATAATAGCAAATTTTTTGTTGTAAACTCATATTTGTATATTACGAAAATAATGTTATAAATAATTTATAGCATGAATAGTTGATTTTGGTTTTTAACACCTTTTTTTTATTACTGTTGAATAATGCCAATTTAGATAATAAAAGATTTTATCACATAATGTTTTTAAATATAGTAATAAATACAATAATTAATAAAACATATAAATATAAAATCTTCCATTTCCCTTTTCTTTTTTGATTGCATAAAAATAGCTAGAAGATATTTATATATAAAAAATGCATACTTAAAAAAGGACAAATAAGAAGAAAAAAAATGAAAGATTAGACACAGATTTGTACAAATATTTTAATAGAGAAATTTATGAATTAAAATGTAGTTTAATTGAATTAAAGGATATTTTATAAAAATATTTTACATTGAAATAATATTTCATCTATAATAATGCTCTTTGACTTAATTAAAAAATTACAAAAAATAAAATATTAAATATACAATTAAATATGCATATGTATATATTTTCAATTTGAAAAAAAAATTCGCACTTTAAAAAAATGCACACTTTTTTAAAGTATCATTCTCTTCCAAAATGCAACTTTTTTATATATATGGAAAATAATAGATATTATTTATAAACATTTTTTCATAAAAAAAAATTAAGAAAAGAAGATAATAAAGTTTAAAAATAAAATCATTTACAATACTACTAATATAAAGATACTAATAATAAAACAAACTTACTAAGTAATAAAATAAGTTAATGAAAAAGTATGATATGCCAATGGACCTGCAAAAAAATTGTATAGCATCTAAAATAATATAAATAATCTAATAACTTGATAAATCAAAATAATATAAAAACTAATAATTAAAAAAATATATAAAACCAATGAAGTATGTTATGTAACACACTAACATTGATAGCACAAAATTAAATTGTGTTAAAAAAATGAAAGAAAAATGTTTGAACACCTATTGATTATTTCATAATAAATAAAAAATGAAAGGTTGGTCAGTAAAGTTTAAAACCAAAGTCTACATTCACTTTCGTAGGGGTATTTATAAACAACATAAACTATTTATGGCAAACGAAAATCCCTATAAAATAATTTTAGGTGAAAAATCAAAATTTTTAAATTTGATTAATTTAATTATTTCCGCAGCGAGAAAAGCAAATAAATGCTAGCTTCATTGTCAGATTTCTTTTAAAAAAAATTTACATTATATATATATATATTGTGTACTTTAAATTGTGTAACCAATTGAAAATTTAATAATGAAGAAAATTTTTTCTTAACCAATTAATTTAATTTAATTTTATTGATAGTGATTTAATGTATTTAATAGTAGTTTGTTTATTGAAAGCAATAATATTTGTTATTTATAAGTGATAATTAATTTAAAAAAAAATTATTTGTTAAATTAAAAATATATATTTATTAAATGCAAATTACGTGAAGATCGTCTAAGATTATTCATATGTCAAAAGAATAGACATTTCACCCTAGACTTTTTTTATTTTTTAACCAAAATTTTGGTTTTTATATTTTTATGTAAGATTTAGGATATTTTATTAGAAATAAAAGATAAATCAATTGAAAATTTTTTAAAAATAAATATAGTTAATACATTAAAATATTTTAAAATTTTTATGAAATTAAATTAATTTATAGCAATTTAAAGAAAAAAATAAATATGAATAAATATATTTAATGCAAGATATAAAATGATTGATAAATATTATCCACGTCTCAATATTATAAGTTATTCACAATGAACATTTTCCTTTTGTTCACCTTTTACTTTTTTGGTCAAAAGTTTTAGGTTTTATATATTTAACTAAGATGTCAATTTAGATTTTTTGGGGGTAAAATGTCCAATTACAAAACTGGCGGACTGGAGGTGACTTAGGGTAGAAATTCAAGGACCCGGTCAAAAGATAACCGTTCTAAATTCATGCGCTTTTCGAAGTCGAGGGTCTGAGACGGTTGGTGCCATCTTTTAAGTTGAAAATGGAACATAGAATCGTTAAAATGCTGCAAATTTTATAAACCCGGAGAAGACTACATCAAATTCCAACCAACCCACAGCTTTTACACGTTTAATGCAAGCTGTGTGTTTTCTTAGCTTATATATATCTGTGCTATCAATTGCTATCACATCCTCCCTAAACTTCATCTTCAGCTTAAACCTGCTTCTCGAAAAAGGGTTCATATTTACATTTTTTTTTTTTTTGAAAAATTTTCAGAACATTTGAACGAAAATTTTCATCATAATCTACCCTTGAGAAAGCTGGTGCACAGTTTCTTCCATGCCTCCTTATCAGGCTCCACTTTCCCCAATTTTGCCTTCAACTCTTCACCATACGAGTCCTGCATTCCATATAAAACGTACCAATGTTAATTCTTCATCTAAATTATTAATCATCACCAAGCCTAGTACCTCAATAAAACTGTGCTGCATGAGACGGTCGATCAGGTGAAGCAGAATGTCTTTGGTGTACTCAGGGTGGCCTTGGATGCCCATCATATGATCCCCATACTTAAACATCTCCACCCCTGTCTTCTCAGACCATGCTATCACCTCTGCCTTTGGTGGAAGTTCTCGAACCTAGCATTTTTAAACATATTTAAAACACGATCATCTTTTTCTAAATAAACCAAGTCCATTTTTTGAAATATACCAACCTCATCTCGATGGCACTCGATCAGGGAAAGAGTTGTTGGGATTTTCAGAGATGAGAAGAGCTTTGATGAGGAAGATGACAAATGAATGGTTGTCACTCCAATGTCCCAACCTGACACGGCACGCCCTGTCTTTCCTCCCAGTGCACGACAAAGAATCTGATCCAAATAACAACCAAATACCTTTTATGGCATAAGCAAACACTTAACTTTAGCATTTTATCTTTGCAAAAACAAAAAATACAGCAATTGAAGAAAGTTTTCTTCCTTTCGTTAAAGCTAGATGACCATCTAATTACGTGACAAGTACCTCTTATAGTCACTTCGCATGAGCAAATAAGTTGCTTTGCCGTAAGAGGAAAGTGTTTCCCAGCCTGATCCTTGGCCCAAAATGGGGGTCAATCTTAGACGTCTATTCTACTATCAAAACCGAACAAGGCACCCATGGGACAAACAAGGCGATGCAATAATAACAAAAACTAAGGGAACAACTACAAGCATGCATTTTTGTGATCTTATCAATGAATTAAGAATGAAGGAGCAAAAGGTACCCAATTCCGTGACTGGCAAGAAAAAAAAAAAACAAAATGAAGTGGCAACCACGTGTTTTTGCATAAGCTGGAACTTATCTTGCCGACAATTGTCATCTGACACGCATATATTAACAAGTGGTCTATTTGTCCACTACCATGGCCATTGAACATCATACAAATATATTATTACAAAGTTTTGAAACACATAAAATACAATGTTATTGATTGACACTACAATCTAGAAATTATACAGAAATGTACAAGGAAGTGTGCAACTGTGCATCTCGTGGGAAGCAAATCCAATTTCATTCATACAAACAGAAAATTCAAAAACCCCACACTATCAACTCTGCCACCCTACTACTAATCTACCATTTCATCATTAAAGAAATAAAAACTAGAGGCTGAGAATGCCCAACCAGCATCTGAGCTGTCAGCATTATCAAGAATGTTTTCAACAATATATTCCTTCAAATTGCTTAATTTACTAGCCTTTAGAGTCCCTAGGGCCATCTCCAATTCAAGAAGTAATTCTCGGAGAATTAAAAACATGTTCAATATAAAAGTGTCAATTGTGGGGTTAACCGGTTGTGATTAGAGGTGTAATCGAGTCGAGTTGATATAGTAAGAAGTTCGAGTTTGAGCTCGAGTTCGACTCTTAACTCGTGGTTCAATACTCGGTTTGAACTCGATCGAATTTTATTTTTTTAACTCGAGCTCGATTTGTGATTGAAATCGAACTATTCGAGCTCACTTGATTAAGCTCGATTTGTACATTCGACAAGAGTTCGATTATTTATGCTCGAACTCTAATTCGATATATTTTATTAATTAAAATAATAAAAATATATTTAAATATAAAAATTCGATTAAGCTCGTGAGCTACTCGAACCAAGTATAAGAATACTCGAACTCGACTCGATCAATGAGTCAAGCTACTTGAGCTAGAGCTCGATTCGATAATATAATCGAATCGAATTCGAATTTTATTCGAATCGAATCCAAGTAACTTATAAGTATTAATATATCATTTACACCTCTAATTGTGGTTAGTAATGACATTTAGCACTCAAAGAAAGAACAAAACAAAAAGGAGAAAAACAAACTTAACTCATGTGCAATAAATGGCTCACAGCATAGGGCATTGAATGCTCAAGCCACTTTCCTTCCACTGCTAAGCTTTGGCCCCTTGTATAATGAGAAGCCGACCATATTGACAATGGCATTATACATGTGAGATAATAATAATTTTTGCACATCCAACCTAGAGCCCCTACAATTTCAACCCTTAAACCGTCTCCCGTCAAGACTCAATTCAGACATCTATATATTTTTATACATAACTGATTTTCCCATGTAAATTTGCATAAATGGCAATACTAAATGCTAGGAACCTAATAGTCATGATTTCACTTTTTCAAAAAAGAAAAATTTGAACTTTGGTTAAAAGTAATTGTAAGAATATGTTTAAATATGAACGCATGAATAACAATGAAATTCAGTATAATAATTAATTACCCAACCAAAGATAGTTGACAAAATATATGAAAATAAGACAATTGGAACGTAATTGAATGTCTTAAACAAGAAAATAGATTACTTTAGGATCTAGTAAAAATCACTAAAACATTTCTCCCTTCAGACTCTAACCAGAAAAAACAACTCCAACTGCACCTTAAAATGCATTTGAAATCCAAATGGAACCTTCTTATAAAAGGTGAGAAGGGTCCAAAATGGTGATCATTAAAACCTCCAAATTCAAAGGAGAGTGTTACCGTACGCGAAAATTGAAGTAGCATGTCGATACATGTTGACCAAAATAAGAGGGCAGATTTTGGTCGCAGATCCAAAGCCGTAGAGCTGGCTGCCGACAAGCTTTAATAAAAGTCGTACTACTACTCTACTAGTACTAAACTTTTCAGATCATAGTTGACAGAAGCTACGGTTGATGGACCACTCGCATCAAGCTCCTGTAAGAGCCGAGGGGGCCACATACCGAACATAAACTTTGATTAATACATGAACTGAGTTTATTCCCGTTATATCAAACACTTGGTTGGCTTGAGGCTTTCCATCTATTTCTGCCGTCAAATTAGACAATTTATATATATATATATACATACTTTTTAACCTAATGTCTACTTATACATTTCCAGCTAAGATTTTCTCTTAAAAGAATCCCCATTAGTTTTAAAATTTTTTTCTCCTCCATTTTTGACTTCACCATTCCCCAAATGACATTTGAGATTTTAGTTGGAAGTATCAAAGTAAACCATAATATATAGGAATAATAGATTTTTTTTCAAATAAAAAAACCAAACACATACCTCTCAGTTAGAAAATCAGAAAGAAAATGCTCAACCTTGAAATATTAAAAAAGAAATTATTAAGAACCAAGTGGTAGTAGTAGCAGTAGTATAAAAAAAAAAGGGAAATGATTAATTGAAAGGAATTACCTGGTGACCAAAGCAAATCCCAAGAACTTTTTTCTTCAAAGAATCCAACTTGTTCAAAAGACCAATCAACCTACAGATCCAAACGTCATTCCCATGTGCATCATTGCAACTCCCAGTTATAACAAAGCCATCAAAGTCACCGATCTCTCCATCATCAGGGAACTCACCATTGGCCACCCTGAAAACATCCCATGTCTCTCCATCCTCCGCCAGCATTTCCACAAAAACCCCATAATATCCTCCATACCTCTTTTTAACATAATCAGAATCCTCAGCACACAGAAGAACAGCAAATCTCTTCCCACCGCCCATAATTAAAAAATATATCTTTAATTCCTTTCAGAAAACAAAACTATCCCCCCTCTCTCTCCTCACAAAGCTTGACCCTTTAGAGAAAGAAAGAAATCAAATCCTTCTCTCTCTATAATCTGCAGAAAGGGCTACCAGAGAGATGGGTGGGAGAGATTGGAAGAGGTTTACTGTTCTTCTGTTTTTTTTTTTTTTTACAGGAATACAAAGATCTGAGTTTTTTGGATTTCTTATATAGTGGTAATGGTTAAGAAGGGAGACATGTTTGGTAACAAAATTACAAGTATAGACTTGGCTGAGGTGGTTTACCCAATTTGCCCCTTTTTCCGGGATGTTACTACTTTATTATGATGACTCGGGGGCCTGGCTTCAAGTAGGTTCTATGAATCTTAGCCGGTTTTATGCCCACTTTGAGGACACAACTTTTTATCCTTTAATAAAATAATAATAAATTTAAACCATTTTCAGCTCTGGGTTTAACAAACTCTCCATTTATATACTTTTTTTTAGTCATTTTATTAATTTTCTTTCCTCTTTTGATCTTTTAGTAATGCTAGTATACTTGGCATATTGACTATTCTACTAAAAAAAAATTCAATACATATCTTATGTAGTGCTATATCGGCACGAAAATAATAAATAATATAAAATCATAATTTAATAATATAAAAAGAGATTATTAATTGATGTTGTTGCCATTTTGATTCAAAATTTATTAAATGTCACTATTTAAAGATATATATATGTGAATTAGTAAGTTAAACTCTAATTTTAATTATAAGTATTTTATTTTTGGTGAGTAATTAAAGAATCAGATTATCTTTTTTTTTTTCTAATGATTATTTAATACTTCAATTATTTTTAAAAAATAAATTAGTATTACAGCACCAAAAACAGAAAAATATACTATTTTTTCCTTTTTTTTTCTTATTTCCGGTAAAATTAAAGAAGAAAAATTTACAAGTATTGCACAGCTCTACTTTATTAATAAGTAATACACCTTCACATGGAAGGTACAATCACATTGCTTCATTTTTTGGTAATAATAGATACTACTTTCCACGATGAGATAATAGTAAAGGACTTAATACAATAAAATGGGGAAATTGAATTTGACTTTCTTTACTATTTAATATATTACCCACAACCCACTACGGTCGAGGGATCTCAGGAAACAGAATAACAAAAATATTACCCAAGTCATCCACGTTTTTTTTCTTCTTATTGTGTATAACCAAAAAAAAAAAAAAAGGGAAATTGATATTGAGAGTAAAGGCAGTTGGAAATTAAGTTGCAGTCAAATGCATATACGAGGCTGTCAACCAAAATCTTACAAGTAACATTAGGAAAAAAAAAATTGGAGTATCTCATAAAAGATATTTACGCATGGAAAAATAAATATATCATTATCATGGAAATGGGCCAAACTAGTCAATCAGTAAACGAAATTGACGGGTGATTTACATTGAAAACCTTGAAAATCAAATTGGACTTTCGTTGATTAAATAGTTTCAGAATTAAAAAGGTCAAGGACTAAATGGTCATTCAAAAAAACGCGATTATTAATTGTTTTTTCTTTTTAATATTTAAATTATATATATTTGGAAGCTCTATTCAAAATATCAATATAAATATTTTTAAGTAAATAAGGGTATTCCAAACTAATTACTTATATAATAGGATCTTCATTAAAATTAATTTATTTAAAATATGGGACTTATTAGTTATTCGTGGTGGCTATACTTTTGTTTTCAATTAAACATTTACACAAGATTTTAGAGATTTTTTTGGTATTTAGATTTAAAAAGTTAGTGTTTTGAAAGACATTTTTTTAATTGATGTAAATGGCCTTTGGTATCATCTTCAAATATGGACATATTTTTCCCTCTCTTTATATCGTTTCAACTTTATTGGATTATGGAATTTTTTTGAATAAGAGTTTGTAAAATTTTTTTATTAAAAATAATATAATTTAGTAATCAAATTACATATTATCCTTAATAAATAAAGCAAGAAAAAAAATTGAGGTAATCTACAATCTTGGGTTGTTTGGATTGCAGAGGAAAATCGGGCATTGATTGATTATGAAACAGACAAATTAGGCCATAATTTGATCTACTGGTCTGAAATATGAAGTGGCACGGTTAAGAGTAAATATTTCTGCTATAGGACCCACAAAAAGATGCTCGTTTTGTTTTACTGTCAGAGTACAGACTGAAACCGAGTGAGGTTTTGTGCAGCAGGATTTGTTAATTGTACGTAATGTTGGGAACCTATCACGTGATGTCTCTATCATCCGCAGCGGCTTCACGTGCATAACTTAGCAAATGGGTTCACTACACGTGTACCCAAAAGATCTCACCTCGTCATTCGTCATGGAGTATAATAAAACTACTTACCCTGGATTAAAAAGTTTTCATCACGTGAGTTCGCAATCAAGACTGCATTCTAGTTAATTTCTAATGAATATATTACCTAAAATTTCGTGTTTTTTTTTTTTTTTTAAAGAAAAGTTATCAGCCCCAATAGTACTCTAGGTTAAAGGTTCAAGTAGATTAAGTATGGGAGAAAATTTGATGAGGTATAATATAAATTTAACATAAGAATAAAAATGATATATTATGTATTTTTTTATATTCACATAAATTATAATATATAAATATATGAATTATCAATATTTTACAAAAAATATATACATAAATTATCATATCACTAATCTAAATAAATTTTAAAAAATATTACTTGCATGTTATTTGTCTTAATCAAGATTTTATCCATAAGTGAAAAAAGAAGAAGTGTATTAAACAGGTCTTCAGTCATACAAATTATATCTCAAAGCATAAGATGTACAAAGTAAAAGGCCAAGGTACCAAATCCACTCACTTTCTTCTTTACGTTATTACTAATCTAAACGTGGAAATGCATCTTAAGATTTTAATTTTGGTATCCTTTTGATCTTTTTTTCCTCTTTAACAAATCAAGCGAGCTCTCTTTTCTAAGCTACTTACAAATCTTATGCTACCAACCCCATACCTCAACAAAAGCAGTACCAGCTAGCATATCTAAGTAACTAATACTGTATAATTTTCACATACTAATTAACTAATACTGTATAATATATATATTATTTTGAAATGCTAAACAAAAAAAGAGTTTATATGAACAAATTTTCACATACTATATAATGCAAACGTATGGAAATTTGAAATTATAATAAACTCATGTATGAAAAATAACAAAAAAATATATATAATGACTCAACGACGGATATAGGATTTTTTTTTTAAAGATATCCACTTATAATATAAATATATATATAAAATATTGATGAATTTATCAATTTTTTTGATAAAAAATATATTTATAAAAAAATCTTGAATGTTCAAATTTTTTTAAAATTTTCTTATTTTTCACTATTTGAGGGTATTTATAAACACCTTTTAAGTTCGTCAAGGGAAATCCACTTCTAGTGTGGCTTCATATTTTAAAATTTATTTAATAAAAGAATTTGGTCATTTAACATATTGGGAAAATTGTAGATGCTGACTCCTCATTTCCCCTTAATAATCCCGAGCCGAAAGCACATTACCTTTTTTTGTTTTTTAGGTAGAAAAACATTGATATCAAATAGAGATATCAAATCTATGGATATTGATCCTGTCCCTCACCCTTGCCGAGTCGTACATGGTAGGCGTTTTGTGATTTATTTTTTTTTCAATTTTTCTGCTAAGTCATTGAAAAAATCGTAGTTGAGGAGGTTAATAATTTCAATTTGCACAAACTTTAAAGAAAATTAATAGAACAAAACTCAGGTCTGAATTGTGTAAATTGTGATGACCATATCTCTATATATCTTAGAAAGACAATTTATTAATTTATAAAAATAATTTATAATAATTTTTTAAACAGTCAAGGATTTTTAAGTTTCGTCTAGTGCATTTCTCTTTGGACCAATCCAAATAGCTTTTAAATATGAAATTACAATGTTTTACAACATTTTGTGTTAATCTCGTTGTAGTTTCGTATAATCAGCAAGTATATAAGGGATGCATAATCGTTTGCTTAAAGTAATTGTTTGTTGAGGTGATTGTGGAATGCGTGAGCCCCAGCAATCAGCATCAAATTAAGCAGGAAATCTATATTTTTAGTTATTAATAAATTCACCTTTTTGTTTCAATACTCCTTCATATCGTTTTAATAATTTGGCCTATTCATCACTTCAAAAAAATATTAATAATAAATTCTTTTAAATAAATTTGTTAAAAGTATTTTAAAGTTTTGTCCACGTCTAATTGTTTTCCAAACAATTTTAAAGACATTCTTCACGTTAATTTAATACGTTCAAAATTTTCCCCAAATCTTTTTGTTCGTTTACGCAACCATTTGTTTGCAAAACAAGACAAGATGGAGACTGCCATTAAGGAACGTCTAGTGTCAGTGGAAGGACAATTTAATCAATGGTGTACTAATACGTGCTCCTGCTGTTTGAATGCGTCCATTAATAATTGAAGTTAGGAGATGATGGTAATTGTAGGATGTCAATTACTTAATCGACATGACATTAATTAGTGCTCTAAATGTTGTTTCTCCAATAACAATTTCGAACATATTGCTCTAATTTGAAAATACTGTTCAACAGGAAACTTTTATTTTTATGTGCTCCATCATATTATTTTTATGGAATAAGAGATTTAATTTAATTATTTTATATAATTATTTTTAAAAAATAATATTCAACATATTTTATATTTAAATCTTAACATTTGTAATATTTTTTATTTTTAAATTACGATATTTTTTATAAAATAAAATGAACATCATGAAATCTACAAAGATTTATCCCCTGTTGATAAAATGATTTAAAAAAAAATAAATCAGAATTTGAAGTTTACAAAATAACATTTAATTGGATCAAATTAATATGGGAAAGCTCACTTTTAAGATAGTTGAATAAAAAGAAAGTTTCAAGTAAGGTTACCTTTTATTGTATTGATAAAGAAAAAACAGTATTAAATTATGAATCCATACCCAGAAAAAGCCCACATTCATGAAAACAAATTAAAAACTTATTAAAGATAGCTAAAACTGATAAATAATAATACAATTTTAATTAATGATTGTTGTTGGTGTCGTTATAGTTATTGTCACTCTTACAACCTTTCAAAAAAAAAAAATGCAGAATTTGGGGTACACGTTTTCTTTTTCTTTTGAAAGATGAGTGTTTATTTATTTATATATTTATTTTTGGGTTTGGAAGAATCTGCGTCACTTATCACTTACATTCAACGCTGCTATATTTGTTGGTTTTCTAATAATTTGCTCCTGACTCATGTTTTTCCTTCACAATCACAATTGACATGTGTTTGTTTATGACCCAAAGCACTCTTCTAATGCCCTATTGACTTCCATTTAATAAAGATGAAATTGAAAAAGGGGTTAGCTATATAAAATATTAATGAAAAATAACTGGAATTAAGTTAATGAGCTGTGTCTACGCGAGCATGCATGGGTCGTGCTGGCTTTTGTAACGCAAATAACTTTTTTATTAGATAACCTAAACAAAACCATCAAAAGATTGATTAAATACTAGTAATATTATAACAAGAATTAATGTCCTAGTCATCATCATCATCAAGTTGTGAATTTCATTGGTAAGGAACTACTAAAATCTTTTGTGATGCCAGATTCGCCAGCTGCAAGTCAATAGAATTTAAAATTCTATGTCCACTACAAAAAATTTATGTTTGATTGCAAGATGTTACATAAAAAAGTATTTGCAACAATATCTGTCGCAGATTTTGTTATAAAAAAAATGTGTAACACCTATTGCAATAAGACTTTTTATGCTAATTTTTTTTTACAAGTTATTGGAAGGTGCGCTAAATGATAGTGTTATAAAAAGCATTTGCAATAATTTTATATAAATTCTCTGTTGCGAAATGTAATTTATGATGACCAATTGTTATATAACATTTTTATACTGTAAAATAGATGTGTTTTATAATATTTATACAAACCACTTCAAAAAAAATTATTACAAATCTCATATAAAAGCAGGTTCGCAGAATTTCCAAATCTCATCCAAATTTTATGTCATATCAAGATGCTTGAAAGGTCTTATCATCCATCAATCAACCACTATATATATATATATATATGTTACTTTTATGGAATTCATGGCAACTTTTTGTGAAAAGAAATGGGAGGTGGATGAAATTTAAATTTATGATTTTAATCATTGATATAATAATTTGATAAAAAAATAAAAAAAAAATAATTTAAAATTTTAATAAAAATTATATATAAATTTAATAAAAATAAAAATTATATTTCGTATTTAATATATTAATATAAATTATATATAACATGATAATTTTTATATTTATATATATTTTATATAAAATAAAATGATACGAATACATATATGTAAGATTTAATAATTATTTGTAAATGTGTCACATGAAATTTTCTAATAATGTCCTGCCGACTGGAATTTATGGCAACTTTTTTTGTAGAAAGGAAGCGGAAGGGAATGAGTATGTGTACAATGTGTCACATGAAACAATGATATTTTGTCAAAACCTACTCCAGAAAGCTTTGGGCTAAGAGAGCTTCCCCCTGAAGCTAAAAGCCACCAAATTTTTTAGGTCATCGTACCAAACACGCAAATTGGTGAATCACTGCAAACCTTTAACTTTCTTTCGCATGATTAGGCTCTATCTTGTCGGAACTATAAATTATAATATTATAATTAATTAAATATAATTTAAAATTATATAAAATATATCAAAATTTTATATAAAATTTACACTTAAAAAAATAAATCTCTATATAATTTTAATTTATAATTAAATAATTATAATATTATAATAAAAAAATGATACGTGAAATATTTTCCCGATAATTTTTCCAACCGACAAATTTGTGGAGAGTTCCGTGCTTACCTGAAAAACCTTTGAATTTGATACTTTTATCGAATGTCTTAGTATATAAATTCAGGTGGATGGATTTGCAGCTTATCTACAGCAGATGATATATTTACACCCCACAAGCATTACAATTACGTCTTTCCATTTGCACTAACCTGCGATTTCATGTAATGTTGCCCTGAATTTTGATACTTCAATGGTGATAAAAATTCATTGCTTTGGATTTTAAAAATGATATCAACATTCAACTCCAGGGATATTACCATTCGTCTTCCTGATGCAAGGAAACTGCATTCATGTTCGAAGTACGATCATTACTGAACACTTTCGTAAATTTTTGTGTAATTACTTGAACATCTAGGAATCAAAATGCAGCTACAACAAGTTTAAAGAAAAAAGATAGTTGGGCACACTTTTGTTTTAGTTTTTAGTAAAACAAATTTCAGCTTCTTATACAGAGCCTCATAAACTGTAAATTAGTTATAGCAATCCTCCTCGGTGATGGTGTTGTATCAAAAGCTATTCGAAACAACGGATCATGCGCTTGAAGGCATGTGTTAACCTCTCAATTGTTGGGAAAATAGCATTGCGATTGCAGGTGAGAATGATTTGATACCACAATGCTGATGACAAAGATATGGCACCAGTCTGCCGCAAAGGACATCCACTGCACCAAGAGAAGCTAGAGAACCAGAAATACGTGTGGCATGGTCAAAAGAACTCATGATTTTGCATCTTGGGGCTTCCCAGTGGTTAGGTTTCTCAACTTTCTGTCATGGTTTAGCATGGCACCGAGACCCTCAACAACCAAGATAATCTTCAAGAGAAGGCCACAGCAAAGGGAAAAACAAAATCAATCATCAGATTAGTTTCGAATTTCTTTTGACTAAGCAAGTCTTCATATCTTCAAAATGATATGTCGAAACATGAATAATCTGTTTAATAGATTGAAAGCACCTCAAATCCATAATTAAAGCACAAATTTCTGTTTAGATTGAGCAACTATCAATTAACAAGGATATGAATTAATTTATGCTGTTTTCCCAACTTTGACTGCTTTGGCAAAAGATAAAGCCATGAGCAATTAATCACATCCAATTGAATAGAACACAATTTAAACCATAAACTTGTGTAAAGGTCAGGAGGTATTCAAACATGAACAAAGTTGAACATGTTCATATAGCACATTTTAGTTGAACTTTGGAAATAAAAATGATCATACATTCGTCCCCCCTCCTGGCCTAGTTGCCAAGAAGACCTTAAAAGAGACATGAGGGCTCGGTTTTGAGTCACCCCCTCCCCAAGAAAATGATCATACGTTTCATCCAAAAAACCGACGCTGTATTTGACAAACTTTATCTTGGGTTAATAGCCTATATGAAATTGGGTCTAAAAGATGGCTCAAACTCTACCAGTCTTAAAACAGTTAAAACTAATTAAAACAATCATTAATTCTAAAACAGTTAAAATTAATTAAAACCATAATTAATTCTTCATTAAATTCATAAATAAAGTCATAAGCGTTAAAATTAATTGAAAGCACCATTAATTCTTCAAATAGTTAAAACTAATTAAAATCACAATTAATTTTTCGTTAAATTCATAAATAAAATAATAAACGCTCTCACTGTAATTTAGCATTCGAACCTTCCGTTCCCACAAATTGATCCCGAAAGGTGAAGAAAGGACAAGTATAAATATAAAAGAAATAAGCTTTTGCATAAAAACCCAAGAGCGTGATCATCATTCTTATGAGATTTTCTTCGCAATTCAAGAACCAAATTGGCAAAATTTTGGTTATACGTAACATTTAACAACTGCCCAGTTGATCAAAGTGGGCAACTAATTCCTAAATGCCAGCGACCCAAAACTTAAAAGAGCAACATGTTGCTGTCTTGGCATTTCCGTTTGGCAGTCACGATCTAACCATCTTAAGCCTGACGTGCAGGTTGGCTTGTGCAGCTCCAAATGTGCAGTTTTCTTTCCTAAGCACTGCAAAATCTAATGATTCCATGTTTTCTACTTTTAAGCTTGATGTTCCGAATAATATCAGAGCCTATAATATGGAGGATGGCGTACCGATGAATCATGTTTTTAGTGGAAACCCAGTGGAGAGATTGGACCTCTTCCTTATGGCAGCTCCTGGAAATTTTAAAAATGGCTTAGATGTTGCAGTCTTGGAAACTGGTAGGAATGTTAGCTGCTTAGTGACGGATATGTTCTTGACATTTGCTGCAGATATAGCTAACGATATGCAGGTTCCTTGGATCCCTCTTTGTGTTTCGATCCCACACAATCTCTCAGCCCATATTTACACTGATCTCATTCGCAGGCTTTTCGATCATGTTGGTGGTGACGAAAATGGTGCAAATTTCCAACACCAAACTTTGGAAGTTATTCCAGGGTTATCTGGAATGTACGTTACAGATTTATCTGATGAAATATTGCCTAGACATTCAAGAGAAACATTCTTTTCTTACATGTTGAGTAGAATTGTGTGTGTTTTGCCTCGAGCTACTGCCATTGTCATGAATTTTTGCCAAGAACTTTATCCTACCCCACTCCTAGATGATCTCAAGTCCATGTTCCCAAATTTGCTCAATGTTGGTTTCCTAACGCAGGAACTACCCCCGCCTCCATTACCACCATCAGATTCAGACGCGACAGGGTGTTTATCATGGTTAGACAAGCAAAGTTCGAAGTCTGTTGTGTATATTAGCTTTGGAACCGCGGCAAACCCACCAGTTGACGAGTTGATAGCATTGGCAGAGGCAGTTGAAGAGAGTCAAATTCCATTTCTCTGGTCTCTCAACGACAATCATAAGCACCATTTACCGAATGGGTTTCTTCAAAGGACAAGCAAGTTCGGGAAAATCGTTTCGTGGGCACCCCAAACTCATGTCTTGGGACATGCTTCGACAGGCGTGTTTGTAACACATTGTGGAGCAAATTCGGTGTTTGAAAGCGTTGCAAATGGAGTGCCAATGATCTGCAGACCAATGTTTGGGGATCATTGGACGATCAGACGTCTGGTGGAGGAAATATGGGAAATTGGTGTCAGAGTTGAGAGGCTTATATTCACAAAGAGTGGAGTACTCAAGAGCTTGGAGCTAATTTTGGGACATGAACAAGGGAGGAAAATGAGAGAAAGGATTAGAGCACTAAGAGAGCTTGTCTTGAAAGCTGCAGAACCAAGTGGAAGTGCTTCACAAGACTTCAAAACTTTAGTAGAAACAATCTTAAATTCTTAATACTGTAATCTAATACTGGTAAGTACTACATTAGAATGCTTTTCTTATTTGATTAAAAAATAGTGTGAATTTATATTTAATGGTTATAATTAGTGGTTACAAATTTAAAATAAGAAAAAGGTTTATATGAAATTATTATTTTTAATTATTTAAAAATAATTATTTATTATATATCACATGATATAATTAAATAATATATATCTATTTTAATAAATAAATAATTTTTTTCATAAATATGACGTGAAATAATAATTTTATCTAATTTTTTCTTTAAGGTTTTGTGGAATACATCAAAAGAGTTTAACCCAAACCATATTTGGTAAACTAAGTATAAGATTACTCTTTTCTTCACAAGAATAAATCACAACACTAAAGATAGAATGGAAAATTGGGCAATCTGCCCGTGCCTAGGAAACTTATCTCCGTACCAACCAACATGTTTTTTTTTTATTCCTACGAGGAATCTGTAGCGTACCTTAGCGCGTATATGTGTACCGTACTCGCCGACCATCAATCAAACATAAAACCGTGGCTGCCACGCGTGGTGACTACTCTCCTCATTAAGCGACTAAGAAAGCTTGAAAGCCAGTTTCCAGCTCCAGCATCATAAAGCCGTTAAAGCGACTCAAATTGACTTTTCATTGGAACACAGTTCTGCTTTTGTTTCCATCCTCTTTCCCAGTCTTTGCTTACTGCCGGAGGTTTTCTCAGGTTCACCACCACCATTTAAGCCAGTTTCCGAAGATAAACTAATCAAAAGGGTTTGAATTCAAGATGGGTTTCATGGCTTTTGCCAAGTTTGCATTGATATGCTTTGATGCTCTTGCATGGTATTTTTTTTTCCTTTTATTGACGTACAGGACGGTTGGTGAAGGAGTGAAAATTGTCTTTTTTTTTTTTTTTTGCATTTTGTTGCTCTCAGGAAGTTGATCTATTAGCTAGATCTCCTCTATTTTCTTTTCTAAGTGCTTTTTTTTTTGTTTAACTGTTTTCATTTATGTGATGAGATCATGGTTTTCATTCATTTTCGTCCATTGTTTGCAGGCCTGCCTTTGCTTTGGGCTATCCTCTGTAAGTCTCCCTTATCATGTTTTATAACATTGATTTTTAGGAATTTGCTGTTTGTTTTTCTACTTCCATTAGTATAACTTTACTCTTTTTTTTGACATTTCATATCGATGATATATGTTATAGCTTTATGATTAGATTCAATATCATTTAAACTAACATTTCTTTGCTCTTAACAGGTGTGCTTCCATTCAGGCAATTGAGGCTAATTCGAACTCTGACACCAAGAAATTGGTTACCTACTGGGTCATCTTCTCACTCATCTCCCTGTTTGAATATGCTTTCATGGTGATGCTTCAATGGTAATCTTCCCTGCTCAGCAATGCATGGAGTTCTGTTTGGTGTTCCTAAAATTTTCTGTTAAAAGAGTAACTTTATTTGGATTTTGACCATCGTTTTCCCTAGCAACAAATGTTGGGTTTCCAGTTTGGTTTTCCTTTTATTGACTTATATGCTATCCTAAATGCTGATTCCCAGGCTACCATTCTGGCCATATATGAAGCTGACGATCGTCTGCTGGTTGATGATACCCCACTTCGATGGTGCCTTTTATGTCTATAACAACTTTGTTCACCCATGTCTCTATATAGACGTGCAAACTATCATTAACTGGTTCAAGAAGCAGCAGGAATTATTTTTGAAAGACAATATTCTTGCCGAGGCAGATAAATATGTGAAGGTACATGGACCTGAAGCTTTGGAGAAACTTATTGCTAGCGAGGTATGCTATGGATATATATATATATATATATGTGTGTGTGTGTGTGTGTGTGTGTGTGTGTATGTGGTAGACAATTTTCTCTGAAAAATACTGCATTCTCAGGAAAAACCTTTGTTGGTCTTTGAAATATCTTTCTAGATAATAGAAGAAAAGGAGGTAACATTAATGATTATTGAATACAAGGTTGTGATGGGGTAAAATATAACATAATTTATTAGTCTTCTATATGATCCAATCTTTCTGTTTCATTGTGTAGTCAAAGGGCGCAGAGCCTGGCATATTGCAGAAAGACACAAAAGATGTACAAGTAACAGAGAAAAGGGAAACAGAGAAAAGGGAAGTTGGTCCGGAGAACCTGGTAAAATTTCATACTCATTTTTCTTTGGAATTTCATCCTAACATTCTAGCCTTTCTCGAGGGAAAGAAAAATCTTTATGCTCTGAAACGAAACTAAGAATATGGATGAGAATTAGGCTTTTTATATATTGTCTCATTTCTTATTTCCTTCTAGAAACTCTTGATTTTGAGTTTTATGCCTTTCCTACAATAGATCAGAACACATAAAAGAATTGTCATAGCTTCTGATCACTTTCTTAATTACTCGTGCAGATTCTGGAAACAGCGCCCAATGCTGCTCAGACAGTGAACAATACGATCACACTTCCGGAAATCAAGGGAGCAGTAGGTTTTGATCCTCCTGAGATAACTACAGATAAGCAAGTTCAGAAGGAGTGGACCTGTGCTATGTGTCAAGTAACAACCTCAAGTGAGAAAACCTTGAATAGCCATCTCCAAGGAAGACGACACAGGGATGTTCGTGCGGAGCTAATGAAGGCAAAGAACCAGCCTTCCAAAGGCAAAGAATTTGCTTCAGTGGTTAGGGATAAGGGGCCTTCCAGCAGTAGTACTCAGGCAAGCCAAAAGACGCAGCAACCTTCCAAGGGCCAAGTATCTGCTTCTTCAATTGGTAAGAACTCTGATCTTCCTTGCAATAATATATCCCCCTCCAGCAAAGCAGTGAATCCTAAAACAATATGGCTGGAAATCCATTAAAGCAAATCTAATCTGCCGAAAAAGGAACCAATGAATTTGTTACCAAACAATATGGCAGGAAATCAACTAAAACCCAGTGAGAAGGTAAACGGCCAGCAACAGGGTGGGAAGAAACTAGCTGGCATCAAAATTCCTCAGTTTCGTTGCACCATATGTAACGTAAACTGTAGTCGTTCAGAGGACTTGAACTGTCACCTTTGGGGAAAGAAGCACTTGCTCCGGATTCAAGAACTGAATAGTCTTGTTGGACGAGGTGAGCTTGCTTGAGTTACCAGGGTTGTTTGTGTAATGGATCTTGAAATCTTTCAGATGTAAAGGTTAAGAGACTATAAACATGATGTCTCTATCTAAAGAGTTTTCTTTATCCCAGGGCTTTCTTTAGTTTTCAGCATTTAATGTAGAAATTTATCATAAATAGATCACAATGCACTATATATTCTTACATTTCATAAGATTTGATGTTCTTCAGCATTTTTAATGAACATTCAAAGAGCAAAGGATGGTTAACCACTGTTGCTACATTGAAATTACTGGGTCGTGAAAGTTTAAGGATGGTTTCTGACTTTCCTTGTTACTTCCATCTAATGGATTTGATCCATCACAGTTTTGTGAATGATAAAACAAATTATGTTAAAAATCGTAAAATGATTCGTGAGAGGTCTGCTTTTGCCATTTAGACATGTATGATGATGATGACGTTAGAATGTGCGATGAATTTCCAGTTATTCCATGTGAAGGACGTCAGCTGTTTGCTTGCTACGATACGTTCAGTGCGAAATGATGCCACTTCTAGAAAAGAGAACCCTCTTTAAGGGACATTGGAAATGTAATCAAGCTCAGCGTAGAGGTAGAGCGATTCGCATTTGAAGCTTCAGTCAAGTGTTTTGGCATCATTCTTTGCCACATAGCTACAATGCTATGAATCAAACCTTTCTTATCGAGTAATTTGGGTTCCCGGCTGGCGTTGAGACTTCCGGTGAAGTATCAATGGCAAACCAATTAAAACACAATACGATGCAAAACAGACAATCCAGGTAAAGAAGCTTAAAGTCCCTGATATTGAATTTATTAGTAAGGCTATGCTCTTGGAGTGTCAAATACCATTCAGTTTTTCCAGAAGAGTAGGCCACTTCTCAGCGAAACTACTATTGCTCAGAAGAAATTTTGACTTCAACACTAAAAAATTAACATGTAAACGATCTGTTTTCCCCCGTAGAATTCAAAACATTTTTCAGATTGTCCCCTTTAACCCCCCCCCCCCCCCCCCCTAATTACTTGGCAGTTGGCAGTGAACTCGAATTACGTGGAATCAGTTGAAAGATACAAAGAAAGATTTACATCACGGCAGAGTACATATTAATCCTGAAAGAACAACAATCCCACAGCGTGACTACAACTTCTGCGATGTTGGCATTGCTAGTGAAAATCCACTGCCACTTGGTAAATCCTTCCATTGTTGAGTCACTGTTTTAATCTGGGTGTAAAAATTAACTCCAGCCTTGCCTGCAATTGAGGACAAGTTTCCAACTCAGAAAGTCAATAGAGAAATGGGGGGATATTAGTGCATGGCAAGTTGAAGAACCATGTTAGTGATGATGCATATATTACCGTAAAAATTAAGATCACCAGCGAAAGATGCCTTGGAGCCAGTAAATGAGAAAAAGGGCAGGGGAACTGGTATAGGAACATTGATGCCAACCTAAAAATATGCAAATCATGTTACAGATTTGAACTTTTACAGCAACAAAGAAATGATCTTGCAGTTAATCCTATCATATTGTAGAAGAGGTACTTATAAGGGTTATGCAATTGCAGCTCTGAGCAATTCTCCATATATCCTACAACTATATTTCATCCACGGTTTTACCTGCCCAGCCTCGACCTCTGTCTGGAATTTCCTCGCGGCTGCACCGGATGTAGTGAATACAGAAGCACCATTTCCATATCTTAAACAGAGCACAATTCACAAGTAAAACAAATGTAGATATGTAATTTAGGTGGAGCAAGAAAGGCTGTGATTCAGGATGTACTTGTTTCTATTAACAATGTTTATAGCGTCTTCCAAGCTGTCAGCCTGAACATTGGGTGTGAAAAGAAGAGCAGTTAACAGTCAGCAATGCTAATCAATCAAAAGTTTGATTAGCTTAGAAAACTCACCTTCATGCAAATGAGAACTGGACCAAAGATGTCCTCCTGCACCAGCCAAAATAGAGTAGTCAGGTATCTTCTATGAGGTTCAAGAGTCACTTTACCCACTGGCTCCTGGTATTTTCCGGATTACAGTCTAAATGATGTATTACAAGTCATAAACAAAAATTAATACCTTATAGCACCCCATGTCAGCTGTGACACCAGATAAAATTGTGGGACCAATAAAATTGCCTTGCTCATATCCTGGAACCTACTCATAGATAGTTAATAACAGGTTTTTGTTGAAAGTTTGAAAATCTAGTTAATAACAGGGAAAAAAAGACCCAAGCAACAAGGACCATACTAAGCCACTTCAGAAAGATATCAATAAACCAGCCAGGAAAGAGAGGATGGAGGAGGGACCTTAGGTGGACCAGCAACATCATTTGGATTGTAATAATAATTCATTCTTTATGGATCATATTATATGCTGCAAGTTTCCTTAAATCTTGACTGCCAATAGGCCCAAGACAAACCATTTTTAAGTGGTTGCAAAATATCAATGATTTTATGCTCTTTCACAAGATTGTCCAACCTTGAAGATGGAATACTACATGATGCCACAAAAGAATAGTTGTCCAAAAAATGAATATGGTAGAACATTAAATACCAGTATATTTCTCCCATCAAGCAGTAGTTTGGCACCACTCTCAACCCCAGATTGGATTAATCTGCTTATTCGTTCCTTAGCCTGTGAATGCAGAAGAATTCCAACGAAAAATAACAACATTGAGGATCCAAACAGATTGGAAGAATGAATCAAAAGCATTAAAAAGGGCATTATAAATTATAGAAAATAAGGTCATTAGCCCCCTTCCCCCAGGATGGGAGGCTAAAACCTTTTTGCTGGCAGGCCCAGCTCCAAGTCCCATTACACAACCTTGTGATCGACCTGATACCTTGATAAGGGTAGGCCAAGGATAAATAATAGATTTTACCCTGTCCTCCCAGAGAATGAACGAGTTTCAAATTGTAAAAGAAGAAAAAAAAGAAACTAGGAATGATTTCTACTATCCTTATCATGAGAATCCGTAGCATGCTAGCAGTAAGTCTGTAAAAGTTGGATAATATTTTAAACATGTATTACCTGTTTGCTAATCACTGGACCAAGGTCTGCATCAGGTTCTGTTCCAGCATTCACTTTAAGAGCTTTGGCATGTTCTACCAGTTTATTCTCCCCGGAAAAGGTCAAAAGTGATATCTCCTAATCATAGATTCACAACATAAAAATATGATAAGAAGAGGAAAAGCACAATACCATGATTCTGAATCACCAACAAAGACTATGGTGCTAAGTGCCATGCACCTTTGTCCAGCAGCAACTAAAGCATTTAAAGTAGCATCCTCGTTTGCATCAGGCATGACAATGCCATGATTTTTGGCGCCCATGTTGGACTGAGAAGAATGGTGAATCAGGAAGGAAATTTAGTTCAACTTTAGAAGTCATAGAAGTTGTTAAGCATCCAACCTATTACCAATTGGCAAGGTGGAGAGGCCCAACCTGAATATAAGGCATAGCAAACTGTAAACTTAACTGATGTGAGATAAGACAGCTTAACAGAAGTAATCTTATCACTAAGAGATAACTTGCATATGACTTACAAAAGTCAATGAACTGCACTTACCTGCACACGTTTTCCTTTAGCAGAAGCTCTTCCATATATATGCATGCCAGCCTTTAAAAAATACAAATAAAACATCAAGTAAGAATATAACCAGCATACAGAACTGTTTTACAAAACATCAATGATCCTTTCATGAATTACAATAAGAAGTTTAGGATAGAAACTAGAACTTATAACCAGTGATATCACGACAGAAATAGCAATGGCAATTTTCCCACAAAATATAACATAAAATTAGGCAAAGGACATGATAAAATAGTTCACATCTAGATAAAAATTAGGGAATCATCAGAGGGAGACAGATAAAAATTAACAGGCCATATTCCAATATTTCTTTTCTTGAAAAAAAAAATGACATGGGGAAGACATTAAAAAATGTGAACTGAGAGATGGTCTGTATTGGCCAAGAAATGGAAGCAGATAAAATGAAAATCAGGTTTTCATATTTGGCACTGTTTTGGCGAAAGAAACATTGGCACTTGACAAATTTGTTAATATCAGGTTACCACCACTGATATTAACAGCAAGAACTGAGATATTAATCAAGTGAACCATATTTAGATCTCAAATGATTATGAAAGCTGAGAAGTGAGAACGCATAGATAGCCATCTATGTGCTTTGGATACAAAAGGCGTACCGATGGAGAATGGAGATATGCTAGGCATACTTACAGTATTGGAACCAACAAATGATATAGCTCTGATATCGTCATCATCACAAATAGCATTTACAATGTCCTGCCACAACAAAATATATCAGGATATATATATATATATATATATCGATTCACTGAGAACATCATAAGTTTATGTCATTCATACAACCAGTAAACATGAAGGAAAATATGATTTTTTGCCTAAGGACGGTATTGCAAACAGTTAATTTTAAGAAAAATCACTAATTGATTTTCTAAGTGACAATTAACAAACAAGTATGCAAATAGGTGGATTTATTAGAAAGGGAGAAACATCATAAAATCATGTTGCTGAAGAACATACATTGGTGCCATGAACAATATTTAAGACACCATGAGGCAAACCAGCTTCCATTGCTAACTCTGCCAGCATCATAGATGCCCCTGGAAAAGTATAAAAATAAAGTTCTAAAGGAGAAGAATGGTAACCAAGTTTTCTTTTTTCCATGCAACTGAAAAAAATAAGGTAGTAAACACTAGCAATTATAAGGAAAAATTAAACTATAATGTACCATCCATGCAGGATGTGGCACATCAACATTCAAATAAAATCTATAAACACCGGCCAAGGTAAAACAACATATAGCAACCTTTTGTCCTGTAAGAATTAACACATCCAAGCACAATTAGGAAAAGAATGCCCCGGATTATACCTCATAAGAATTTGAAGTTTGCACTCACCAGGATCCTTTTCCGATGGCTTTAAAATAAAGGTATTACCACAAGTAACTGCAACAGGGAACATCTGCAATATGATAGGAGGGCAAACATGTACATTAAGAAATAGATAAAAGCTAATTGAGAAAACTCATCTTAACCATCAAGACCTTACTACAATTAGCAGAGGATAACATACAATTACTATGCTGTGAAAATTGAAACTCATAAGGGTAAAAAGAAGACTTACCCATAAGGGAATCATTGCTGGAAAGTTGAAGGGACAAATCCCTGCACAAACGCCAAGTGGCTCTCTAACACTATATGTATCAATTCCACTAGATACATTGGGCACATACTCTCCCATTTGCAGGGTTGCCATTCCACAAGAATGTTCCACCACCTCTATATGAAAAAGTCCACAAAATAAAAAAGGGAAAAAATTTTCAATCATTGCCATTTTCAAGGTCTAGTATTCTCTGCAATCAACTCAAACAATACATTGAATGATATAGATACCAACCAAGCCCCGAAAGACATCTCCAAGAGCATCCTTCAATGTCTTGCCCTGTTCAGTTGTAATATTCTTGGCGAGTTTATCCTAAGAAAAACATAGATTAAATAGATTCATTAGCTAAAAGGCTCTAAATAACAAAATTATTACACAAATAAAAACCTGAATTAAGTCTCATCCTTACCGTGTCCTTGCGGATAAGCTCTTGGAGTTTGAACATGATACGCTGACGAGTTGTAATTGGGGTATTGCGCCAGGATGGGAAAGCTTGCTTTGCTGCAGCAACTGCAGCTTTAAACTCTTCATTTGTAGTTAAAGGAACTTACGAAACAATTTCTTGGGTTGCCTTTTTTCCAAATAACATAAATTACCAATTAATCCCATAAACATTTAAAATTCCAGTATATTTACACATGAAGATGTTGAGAGACTCACAGGGTTTATAACATCAATGGTTGATGTTGATTTTGAATCAACAAAAGCACCTCCAATAAGATTAGGAACCCTCTGTATAAAACAACAATCAATACATAAAAAGATACGATAACTACCACCCCAAAAGTCTTTTCTTGATTATGATTGAAGAAAGAAAAAGAGAAGCCTTACCGGAGGATTACGCTGATTAAAAGAGGGTTCAGTCGCAGTAGAGAAACGAGAGTTGGCAGAACCCAAAACCCGAGGCCTTAAAGCCCTTAAATTCTTCACTGCAACAAATGAAACAGCGAAATAATCAAAATTAAACAAACGAATCAAAAAACCCTTGTTTTTCTTTTTTTGTTCAATTGGTTTTGTTTTCAACTATTTCCTTACCTCTTTGAAGGGAAAATCGCATCAACATTTTCTTTTCCTTTTGTGGAAGGAGATGACTGAACTCTGATTACGTTGTATTGGAGCAGACTGCAGTGATTCTTATATAAAATTAATAATCAGAAGTAGCTCTGGCAAAAATTGATAACATGGGTTGATTTTCTGGTACGTTAAAATAATTACGAGAGTGAAAGCAATAGTTTCTCCACATGGTTGACTGCTTGTTTCAGTATCATCAGTTCCATACAGCCAAGAGAACAAATAAAAGATTTTCGCCTTCTAGTATCTTATGTTTGAGGAAAATAGACAAAAATGATAAAATATTATGGGGAAAAGGATCAAAACGTGGATTTTGGGTTCGAGGATGAGATGTGATAAGATTATTTATTTATTATATATATATTTTTGATTATTTACAAGGACGGCAATTGATTGAGTCGAAATGAGTTTTTACTCGTTTCGAATTTAATTTAATTTTATAATTATAAAATTTATATTTATATTTGGTTCAAATTTTTTTTATTTTTTTATATTCGAAATCGATATTATATAAATTATATTAATTTGATTTAATTTAAAATTAATAAAATATTTTTTTAAAATATAAAATATTATTTTTTAAATATAAATATATAAATAAATAATTAAAAAATAATTTTTTATATAATATCGAAGTTAAATTTATCTAAAATTTGAATTCAACTCGATCTAAATTTTCACTTAATAATATTCATTTAACCCGATCGAAATTTTATTTCAAAAAAAAAAAAATTGATTTTATAAGGTGAGGTCGGATTGGAATCTGTCAGTTTCAGATTGAACTGTCAACCTTAGTCATTCAATGAGGGAAAGGAAAAGTTGAGATTCAAACCCAATATTGATATTTTTTTTAAGATTATTTTGATCGTTAAATCAAACAGTTAAAAATTATTATATTAATTATTAGAAAGTAACTTATTCGAAGGAATCTTATTCTGCGCGTCGCTTACTTGCCGTAACCAAATAATGTGAGTTTAATCTTATATTCCAACTTTTTTTTCTTTTAATTTTTAAAGACATGTCTACAATTAAAAAAAAATGTATCTTTTAATATTTGCTAACTTTTTGGGTCTTAACTCTTAACGGACGTCTCTCAAATCTCAATCAATTGGATCTTCGCTTCATGAACATGACTCTGGGCCGTATGTTGTCCAAAGCCTTCAACAAACAAATATCATAGATCAGAGATGGAAAGAAAACGAAGGGTATAAAAGCGTCAACAAGGTCAGCAAAATGCCCGCAAGCCGTGAAGAAGATGACGGCCTCCAATAAATATTAAATATGAGAAACAAACAACTAAATTCAACCAAAATATGGGTTTTGGTGCATCTAAATTTGGCTAATTTTCTTTCGATAAACTCAGGTTTGTACAACTATTCATCTATGGTAATTGATAGTATTAAGCAAAACGTGACAACTCAATTTCCATTACATTATGATTAATACAAAAAATTGCCAGCTTATTTTTTTTATTTAACCAGAATTAGAGAAAAGATGAGGGCAAAGGTTAAAATCATATGTTATTAGTCAATTATGTAGTATGAATAAACTAGGAATTTGGCATCACTGCCTGCTTCCTTCCATTGTTGAGTTACTGTTTTAATCTGGGTGTAGAATTCAACTCCTGCCTTGCCTGAGGTTCACATGATAAACCATTAGTTTATAAACTTCACCCGCAAAGGATGGCTTGAGCTGGTAAAAGAAGAAAAGGGCAGTTGGACTGAGAAGGGAACATTGATGCCAACCTGAGTCGAAAAACCCACTAAAAAATCAACAAATTTTCATAAAAAGACCCCCAGGAAATAAAGAGTATGATAATGACTTCACTGCATCGGTGTTATCTGTAAATACAAACTCCATGAGGATAACTCCATTAATCAATATGATGAAAGGAATGAGCAATAAACTAGCCGCAGATTGCTTTCTAGAATGAAATTATTAAGTACAAGTCCATGTATATTTATACAAATATATATATGTACTAAACCAAAAAATCTGAAATAATAGAAACTGTTGGTATTGGCATATCCCATTTTTTAAAGAAAACCGAAACATTATCGGATATGGTATTAACAACTTTGGGTATAACTCCCATTCTTTCACACATCAGTGTGACGAGGGTGATTGTTCAAGAACATAACAGAAATGAAACATTTCCAGATATCAAAGTATGAAAGCATAATCAATCCAAGTAGAGAGAACAAATCTTCCTACGAGTAAAGAAAATGTTGTAATTGCTAAATAGTCAGATGGCTTAATGAAATGAATATAAAGGCAGAAGGGAGATAATAAACTTAAGTATGAAATAATTGTTGAAAGACACTGTAACCATGTTGTTAACGCATGGAACCAGCAATGTATATAACAGGCAGACATCCTCAATTTACCAATACATGACTGCAGCACAAATATGAAGTAAAGAATTCACTAACAAATGACATGACGGATTATGAACCAATATTAACTCGGTTGCTAATATTTCCACCATGGTTCTAGTGGAAAGGTTGTAGAAATTAGGAAAGATTGTTATAGTTGCCATGTAGGGCCGGAACTCATCCGTCCAACAAAAAAAGTCTCTCATAGAACTACTCTGAATGTGCCCTTTGCATTTCAAATAACAATAAATCACAAACTTAGAAACAATTTATCCTAGTTTCCTTTTCTTCTAACTGGAATATTAGGTAGCTATCTATAGTCTGCATATCTGTATGATCTATGGCTGCCTATAAATAGAGAAATTTCAAATTAAAAGATGGTGGAAATAACTGTATTTATATCTTTTCTTAAAGTATGTGATTTCCTAAAGAAAACTCACCATATTAGACCTCGAACATGTGTAAGTGTAGAAGAGGAGTCCAGACAAATTTTGCTCATAATATCATGCTCATAGCAGAATGTAAGTCTTTCTTGGTGAATAAGTCATTGTACATTGCTCAGAAATGGAACTATAGCAGCTAACATCTTCCGCAATCCCAAGAAGACACATCACTAATATTTAATTTTGCATCGACATTAAAATGGTCATAGTGAAAATGCTTCAACCATCAATGATGTAGTGTGTACTAAATTCCTTATAATGCTCAAAATGTGACAATGAATTAGAGAAAAAATGCAATATGGCACACTATATGGATCCTTTCTTTGGCAAATCCTTTGTTAAATGCTCCCTCGATAAATGCATTTATAGATCTACATTAGTGGACATGAAGCTACATTTTGTATGGGAACAAATAATCTAAGAAAATCAAATTTTGGAGAAGAAACAAATTAAAGAACAGATATTAGCTCTGCTGTAACGTTTTAATCACTCTCCAAACATGAAAAGATAAGCACCTAACTGTAGTAAACTTACCCTAAAGCCTAAAGTGAAATATAATCAACAACTTACAATACCACAGTTTCAGTTTCAGTTTCAGTAGAGCTAACTAATTCATTCTGCATACCATCTTCCTGAGTAGCATGAGAAAGGCTGATGCCTGCATCAAGTTCAAATTGGTCTAATTCATCATCTCTCATATAAAGCTTCAACTTCTGTGTGCACCACTGCAGTTGATCTTCCAATAAACTCCTCTCTGACTCATGTTTCATTACAATCCATTGCAATGATTCAATAACTTGTTGATCATATTCCTGCTTCTGCTCTGCCATTCGCTTGTACCGATTAGCTTCAATTTCCATTGAACTCTTCTCGCTTTGAAGGCGCAAAATCATGGCCATTGCTTCATCAGCCGCTGATGCAGCTGCTATTCTCTCCTTCTCAAGCTCTTGACAAGCAGCTTTTGTTCTTCTCTTTTCAATTTTAACCAAATTCCTCAATGCCGTTACGTCAAATTCTTTATCTTCAGGACAGCATTCGTTTTCTTTTTCATCACTATCCTCTTCTACAGCATATTTTGCTTTACCATTAATATCTCCATTGACAAGTTCTTTGCAATTGTCTACAAGTTTCAATGAAACCGACCGACAAGCCCTAATCTTTGGATCATAAACTTCATCCAGGTCATGTTTTGAACAAATCCCACCTCTCAAATCATTCGATTTCCCTCCAACATCACATAAAAATTGCATTATACCCTTATTAGTCAAACCAATTTGCCAAAACTTTAACCCCATACCAATCATCAGAAACAGACCCAAGACATTAAAAACATATGAGAAACGACCAAACACCAAAAACCCACATCCAAAAACTTCCTTTCCTGGACTCAAAAGCTTCAAGAATGAAACAAAGTCCATCATGAAAGCCCCCAAGAAAACCTCAAAAACCCGCTTGTGCAACTCGAGAACAGAACAGACAATCACCAACAAAACAAACTGAACCAGAATCTGCATGTGGGTCCAATAGCTTCGTTCCACTCTTATTATCTATATCTCTTAATAAAATCTTGAAAGGCTCAAAAACTTGTAACATAAGCAAGAAACAGGCATTCAGATTTCACCAAGTTTTTTTTTTTCTTTTTCTTTCATTCGTTTAGAATTCATAACAATGGAAAACAGAGTGTTGATATTTGGTTATCACTGACCTTCTACAAGAGAGAAGACCCATCGGGCATAATTACTTGTTAAAGAAAAATATCAGATGGGAATTGCTCAAGGAGAGAGATTGGTTGCATTTGTTTTACAGTGTTACAGAAAAAGATCAGATGGGGATTGTTCATGGAGAGAGGTGGCAGTTATTTTACAGTATCCGTGATCAGTGTGGGTTTTTATTGGGATACGAGAAGACAAGAGGCGAAGAAAACGAGGGGCGTTGGAGTTTTGATTACGATAATATTCGCTTATTCAAAGGAGTCGGCCAAATTTTGATGGTGGATGAGAATCTAGGGAAATAAATATCTCTACCATACGGACCGATTTCAATGCATTTTCTTAGACAATAAAAAAAACAATGGCATCTCATAATTACTTTTATGAATATTATAATTATAAAAAGATATAGTCCTAATTAAATATTATATTTATATAATTAATTAAATAATTAATATATTATAATCAAATTATATTTATTTAATAATTAATTAATAAATTATAATTTAATTAGATAATCAAATTTATACCTAATGAAACTTAAATTAAGATTTTATGATTATAAGATTTTTTTTATCATTAAACCAAAACATAATTGGCATGAATAGTATAATTTTATTTAGTCAATATCTTTTAATTGCATATCATCGGTGAGGTTTGAAAGGTGTTCATTTTATAATTGAATAATATTACCACATTTGTTTAAAAAAATTATTTAAGGTTCAAAATCTTTTTTTTTTCATCTTTTAAATTTCACTTCTTTCATCCAAAAATTTTAATTTGGATTGTCAAGGGGTGTTTATGAATTATGAGCACTGATTTAGACCGTATACTAATTTCATAAAATTTTTAAAAATAATGCATTAATATATTTTTTATTTAAATAGAAAGCATATCACTTGTAATAATTATACTATAATTAATCAATCAAATTTTAAAATAATATAAGATCTATCAAAATATTATGTGAAGTTCATTGTTATATGTGGTGAATATTCACATAATTACTGATTGTGATTGAATAATTTTAATATTCTAATAAAAAAATTATAATTTAAATACTCACGTTTAAATATATCACTTTAAACAATGTTATTGGACACTGATTATTTTCCTTTGAATTTAACCAAAATAAATTGTCAAATAACAAGGAGAAAGAGAGGGAAGAGGTTGGGGTCGAGCCAAGACGCTGAAGATTATATTAATCCAACATATATGCTGGTTGTTACTAGCTGCTTTAGTGAGATAAATTAGAAATAACATGTATATCTATATCTACATACAATGGTGTATAAATATATATAATTTTTTTTATAAAAAAAATTTGAGAGTAAATAAATTATTAAATCTTTCAGATCAGAGTAAAATATGATGTATCTAATAACTTAAGATAGATGATTGTAGGTCGTGCATTCGAGATACCTGACAACTAAAAATAAGTGGTTGTAAATCGTGTATTCGAGATGACTTCAATAAATGGCTACCAGCATGAGTTGAATCCAAATTTTTTTTCATTGAAAAAGATAAATTTTAATTGATTGAATCAATCACTTGTTGATATTATATATATATAATTTTAAACCATTAAAAATATTAAAAATATGAAATTAATTAGTACTTATCTTTTTCTCCCTTTTAAGTATATCTTTTAATGGCTATAAGACACACCGAACGCCTCAATTACAATTTACAAAGGCCTATACTGTACAATTATAGGGGGTTATACCCTTTGGTTTACGCACATAAAAAAAAGTCTGATCTATGTTTAGGTAGCACAATCGGTCCACATGCAAATAAAATATTTAATAAAAAAACTCACGTCTCATGCGTGATGTAGTTTAGTATTTGATTTTAAGTGTTATTTCTTTTTTTCTTTCAAAAAATTAAAGAAATTGTTATAATCCACTTTATATAATGTGACATGAAGATAGGTAGGAAGATTGGATGGTTTTTACTCATTACCTTTTTTCCACCTACATAAAATTAGTTAAAATTTAAGATTTATTTCAATTAATTTATATAATTATTTTTACGAGATATTTAAATTTAAAATTCAATACTCACAAATTCTTTTGTTTTATCAGCAAAATATTTAGTGTCATGGTAAAATGAAAGGAATTCTTTTCAAGCGGGATCCGAAACTATATCATAGAGTATAAATTAGACATATTTTGTTGATTTCGAGTTTCGACCGGATTAGTTCGTGTCCTTGAAACTTGAAAGCATGGACCAACCGACGTAAGAATAGTAAGAAATTAAACCGTGCTGCCCAAGGCCTTGAAGTCAACTCATATCATAAGATTCTTTAATTAATTTATATAATTATTTTAAAAATATATTTAAATTTAAAATTCAATACTCACAAATTCTTTTGTTTTATCAACAAAATATTTAGTGTCATGAATATGGTAAAATGAAATTCTTTTCAGGCTGGATCCGAAACTATATCATAGAATATAAATTAAATATATTTTGTTGGTTTCGAGTTTCGACCGGATTAATTCGTGCCCTTGAAACTCGAAAGCATGGACCAACCGACGTAAGAATAGTAAGAAATTAAACCGTGCTGCCCAAGGCCTTCAAGTCAACTCATATCATGAGATTCTTCCTTATCCGTCTTGTATATTTTTAATGGTTGACAGATTTGAAAACTTGGATGCTACGTTAATGGATGTAAAATTTAAGCTCTTTCTCGGAGCTTGAACTTCAAAGTTCAAACTTCTCTTGTACACAAATCTACTCCCATGGCTCCAAAAGTGAAGACGAAGAACAAGAAAAAGCAAGCTCCGCCCACTGTCACATGGCCAGATCTTCCACAAAAACTTGTCGACGTAATCGCGAAGGAGCCAGCTCTGATGCAGAATATAAGTTATGGAGGGCTGACCAAGTTGTGCAGAGCATCCACAAACAAATGCAATCATAATAATTCACCACCATGTCTTCAACTGTTTGATGAGATGAATGCCAACAATGACGAAAGTTACGTTGAGCCTAATCTAAATGCTTCGTTTTACCGAAGGTGGTTCTGGTTTTGGTATCATTCAAGGTGGGCGAGACCACCAGTCCGAAGCCATTGGAAACATTATGTTGGTTACTCAAATGATGCTATAGTGGCTAAAGGAGCCACATTTTCATACTCTGGATCTTCAGACCGTATTTATCTTCGGTATCCGGTTAAAGGATATTCCAATTCTCCACTCCCAGAATGGGATGAAAGAATTCCTTTAATGCGTGTGGTGACATCAAATTTATCCATTAAGAATTGTACAGCCATGGTCTTGACAGGAATTAGTCGTCCAGCGTTTGTGTTCTATCGACTAGGCGGAGAAGGAAAAAGGGAATGGGTGAAGCAAGATTGCACATTGACTGAACCACATTGTTCGATGAAATCAGAAGGGAAGCATTTGATGACATTTACTAATGCTATTGGGTTTAATGGAAGCTTCTATGTATTGAGTTTGCAGGGAACAATTGCAGTGATAGATGCCACAGAATCTCATCCTAGAATCACAGCCTTGAGTTCGAAAAGGGCTGTTCCTTCTGTGTTGCAAAGCATTTCAGAGAATATTTGCTTGAATCTGAGGGGAATATCTTATTGGTTTTCCTCATCTCTAGAAAATCAATCAAACTTGTGGATAATGTAGAAGTATTCCTGCTTAATAAAGCAAAACTTTCATGGGCCAAGATGGCGAGCCTTGGGGATAGAGCCTTGTTCTTGGGGACTACTTGTTGTATGTCAGTCACTGCAAGCAGAGTAGGATGTAGAAGCAACTGTGTCTATTTTTCCTGTCACATAGCTGATGATGGTTGGTCGGTATTTGACATGGAAAAGGGCTGCATTTCACCTGGTTGGAGTGGTGCTACCCAGTAAAAAATTTTCAGTGGGATCATAACATAAAGTCCGATTATGTATATTTTCGTTATTTTATAATTAAATAAATTTTTAGGATAAATCTAAAAGTATTATATAGATAACAAATATTAAATATATTATCTCATTATTTAAATAAAAATTATTACAATAAAATATTCTTGTGCTTACCTTCGATTTTTAAAACAAAAAAGTAACACGTGTTTAGATATTACAGTAAATGATAGTTTTGAATGAGTAGAAATTAAAAAGATGTAAAACATAGAAATATATATTAAAATGATATGAAAAAAAATATTTTAAAATTTGTCCCATATTACATTTTAAAAGCTTAATAGTGTATGATCATATTTATATTAATATTAATATTAATTTTTTAAAAGATTTTTTTACCTATATATTGCTCATTATCACCATAAAAATAGTTAAAAATTTTACTTATTTGACCCTTCATGTTAAATTATCTTTAGATTTTATGGGGTCAAATAAGAAAATTACAATAAAATTACTACTAATGAATATAAGCACCATTTTTCTAGAGTTTTTTTTCAGAGAATTTTTTAGAGTTGAGTGGGGTCCGTTGATCCACTCCAATAAAAAAAACACTTATATGAAATCTTTTAGGTAAAGTTTATAAAACTTATTCTTAAAAATAATTTAATAAAAATTTTAATATAAATGCATAGATTTTAGTATAAATATTAATAATATATAAAAAATTATTAAACATATTATTTTTATAATTTAAATTTAATTAATATTTATTTAATAATAAAAATTTTATCAATATTTTTATTAAAAATATCTATTTAAAAATTTATTAAAATTTATTAAAACTAACAACATACCCATACTACAAGTTCAAAAGGAAAAATCGTGCCAGTTTGACCCGACTTGGATTTAAAAAACTGTTCTCATTGGCCCCTGTTGCTGCCGCGAAGTCTCGTCATTGGACTGAAACCAACCTGTTAACGCATTTAGGACTGGGTCCAACGACAAGTTTATTATGCTCAGTCAATGGATTACTAGTTTTCCATTATCTCTAGAGTCTAGAATACGGTTTAAAGCCTTAAACGACTCTCGCGGGCCGCCATGGAACTTTTACCGCTTTTGGTCTTCTCAATATCCCTCATAGCTGGCAAAGAAAGATGACCTTTTCTTTTCAGTGGAAAAATGGATAGTCTGACTATAAAACCAAAAAGAAAAATTGCAGCAGGAAGTAGAAGAAAATGAAAACCTTTTATAGTTAGAAAATTTGTTTTTCAAAAATTAATGGTTCATGCAAGTAAGAAACCCAAATACTAAAATCAGAATTGAACGGATAGTTATAGCAGTGCATTTTTTTTTCTGGTAAATTAAATTTAGAAGAACATGTTATAGTGAACTTGACTGATTCACATGTATTATGAAAAGAAAATTGACTTCATGTCTGACTAGTAAAATTTGCTTTTGGAAAAGGGGTGGATGTATGATGAATTTCTAGTTATGAAAGATGGCTTAAAGGTTAAATCAAGTGAACAAAAGGTCCAAACACGTTTTCTGACCCTTTCATTAGATTTTTTTTCCTTAATTTCCCCTTCTGTTTCATTCTTCTTCAAAATACCAAAACAAACCACATTGGTCACAGATAAAATTGATATACATTTAGAAAGGAACATGTTTCAGGCAAGAATGAACAATAATGAAATAATTAAAAGGGAAAAACATGTTGATTTAACAGCCGTGAGTGTGAACCAAAGCTGAAACCTCTTCAGATGAGGAAATTGGATGAAAGCATTCAAATAAGGTGCTTGGATTTGAGGTAGTGGCTGTTGAACAAGTGGCTTGGCTCCTGGCCTCATACGTGTTTGTAAAATCGAATTGATTCAAAACAACTGGAGGAAAATACAAAGCCATTGGCATTTGGGGTGGAAGAATGGGCAACGGGACTTCAAAATTGAGAGCTTGAATTGCCTGCCTTATGGAAGGCCTTAGCTTATAATCTGTATGAGTGCACCATAATCCAACAGATAGCAAGCATCTCATCTCGTCTTCATTAAATTCTCCATTCAATGTTTGATCTACTGCTTCAAGAAGCTTTCCATTCGCATGTAGCTCCCAAATCCAATTGGACAAGACCATTTTAGTCTCTTCTTTGTTATTTTCCACAGCTCTGCGCCCACAAGCCACCTCTAGGGCCACAACCCCAAAGCTAAACACATCAGATTCCTTGCTAGCTTTGCTTGTGATCACGTATTCAGGGGCCAAATAGCCCATAGTCCCAGCTAAAATTGTTGTTTGCGAGCCAAGGCCATGTTCTAGAAGTTTAGCCAGACCAAAATCACCTAGTTTGGCATTGAAGTTTGAATCCAGCATTATATTGCTTGGCTTGACGTCTCTGTGAATCACACATTGCTCCCATTCCTCATGGAGATAGAGCAAGGCAGAAGCCAATCCTTTAACAATTTTATATCTGATTGGCCATGGAAGACGATTACCCTTGCCATAAAGGTGAGTGTCTAGGCTTCCGTTAGGCATGTACTCGTAAACTAGAAGGAAATTAGCATTTTCATGGCTCCAACCAATGAGTTGAACTAAATTCCGGTGTCTCAAACGACTTATGGTCTTCACCTCAGAAACATATTCCTTTTTCCCTTGATTGGAGTTGCTAGCTATTTTCTTGACTGCAATTTCGGTGTTTTCCTCTGCCAAGTAACCCCTATAGACACCTCCGAACCCTCCCTGCCCAAGTTTTCCCTCTTCTGAAAAGTTTCCAGTTGCACTAACCAATGCCTTAAAGGTGAATCTCTTCGGTCCAGTTCCCTTTGCAAAATCCATGTCCATGCTGTCATCGATTCCTAGTTCTTCATCATGATAATCTTCTTCTTTTGCGTCAGGTTTCTTTCTTCTTGAATTTCTCCACAAAATACCAACTATCAGTCCCACCCCTACAAAAAAGACCACCACTGCTATGATTAACCACACCTTCCACATCTCAAAACCTTTATTATTGTTATCACCTTCTTCAATTGGACTCATGTTTGAGGTAAAATTCCAACTTATTATCAATTGAGCTGGCGTTGCCTGTCCGCTTGATGCTGAGAAACCAATATACACCTTCGGCGGCAACACTGTACTTAAATCCACATTGTAAGTGAGACTCAACGCTTCTGATTGACCAAAAATATCTGCGAGTTCGACAACAATACTAAGAGCCTTAGATGTTCCATTGTAAGAGAGCGTGGCACGGTGATAGGTACTATTACTGACCAGATCCTCATTCCAATTTGTGCTATTCTTGGAATCAATAGAGTTGACATCAAAGCCAATATGGATGTTGCTAGGATCCCATTCGTTTCTGAACGTATCTAATTCAACGGCAACAATTTGGTTCGATGAATTCCCATTAATGGTCTCGTTGAATAGCCCCAACCATCCTCCACCAGAATTTCTAGGAGCAGTCAGCGACTCCTCTGAAGTTATAAACAAGGCAACACCACCAGAACTCACACTTGAATTATACTGCTGCTCGCCAAACAAGATTGCGAAGTCAAAACTAGTGGTGAAATCCGTGATCATATTTGTTCTGGGATCCCACAGTTGAAAAGGTTCGTGGTAGTAAACTCGGCCACTAGCATTTTGGCGTGTCCCTGTAACAGGATCAGGATCAATGAGTCGAATCACCGGCTCCCCAAATTCTGATTGACCTCTAGTTGAACCTCTAACAATAACATTGGCGTCGTTTGGGTCGAAGCTGGCCGGAGGATAAGTGAATTCCAAGCAGCTGGCGACGGAGAAGCAAATCAGATAGAAAGAAAAAACAAAGAGAAATGAGCAAAAAGATTGAGAATCCATCGGGGAAGTGGAAACCAAAGAAAAGTCTAAAATGAGTAAGGGATATATGGTTCAGGGAAGAGACTAAAATATGGTAGTTTTGCTTTTGTTTTAGGTGATGGCAGGATTTTGCCGGTTGTGCGACACTTTCTACATTAGTGTTTGCTCCATAGTCGTCAATAGGACTTGGTAAAAGCTCGTAGTCCTGGACTTTGACAAAATGACTAAATAGCTAGCCTACATACATAGCTTAGAAGAATCCGCACTTGTATTGAAAAAACTGATACCACAACTTTTCCCTTTTTTTTTTCACTTAAAATATCGAATTTAATCGTTGAAACTAAAATTCTAACATTCTAATATCTGTTAGCCTTTTCAATTTCACTCACGTTTCAAATTCAAAATTAATTATGGAGCCAATCAAATGCACATGATTTCTTATAGTAGAGTATTATAATAGTAACATTGTTGTGTATATATACTTTAGGTCAGATAAAAAAAAGTTCTGCAATCATTGTTGACTAAATGTGGGATTAATTGGTCATCCGAGTAATTAGTAGATGAGGTCAACAAAGAAGTTCTATTAATTGGATGAAGTACTTGACCCATCACCGTTATCATAATAATAAAAAATGACCCTATAAAAAAATTATTATTGGTTGGTTTGGTGTGGGGTCTTAGAGGCCAAATTGATACTATTATATATCTATATGTTTAATTTTATTAACTTTGACCTAAACTTCACCGTTCCCTTACTTTTCCAAGTGTCACTAGCCTATCACTCTTTTTTTTTTTTTTCAATTTTTTAATTTTTTTGAACATAAAAATGAATTCTTATCTTCTAAAAAAAACATAGACATGAGAGTATTTTTCAACAAAAATTACAAAATAAATATTAAAGTAAAATTATTTATTAATTAATGCTATAACAAAAAATTAATTGAAAGTGTCAATTTTTTATTAATGAAAAATATAATTACTTTTTATTTAAGAATATAATATTATAATATGTCCCCAAAAACTTATTATATATATGCTTAATAAAAAAATATAAAATTACCAATAACTTTAAGAAATTAAGGTGCATATAGATATTTAAAAATTATTTTTGATAGTTTATTTATTTTAATATTTATTCTCTTATGTTTATTAACAAATATAAAATTTTGAATTTTTATCAATTTGTAATTGTTAACAAATTGCACATATTTTTCTTTTTTTTCTAATTAATTATATTTTATTATTATAATACAAAAGATAATAAATATTTTGTATATTAAAATTCATACTACTAATTTAGTAGAATTTGACCTAATTGTAACCTTCTCTCAACTGTTCAATGTATTAATACTTTTCACCTCTTCAACTCTTTTTTTTCTTTTTTTTTTTTTTTCTAAACCAAGATGGTTGACGTAGTAAGATTTTTTTTTAGGAAAATTAGAAGGTGAGATGTTATAACAAGATTATTTATCAATTGATATTATGACAAAAATAATTAATGAAAAAATTTTTTTAAATTGATAAACAATATAATGTTTACCTCAATTTTAAATTTAATCTAAAATTATAATATTTGCAAATAAAATATATTATACATATATTTAATTAAAAAATATGTATTACTACCTTATAATAGACATATATCAATAACCCTTCAAAATTAAGATAAATATGTACATTTAAAAGTTATTATTGATAGCTAATTTATTTTAAAATTTTCTCTTATGTTTATTAATAACATAAAGTTTTGAACTTTTATCAATTTGTAATTGTCAACTAATTGTACTTTTTTATTAATTTTTTATGTTAAAATTTTCTTTTAACTAATTATTTTTTATTATAATACAAAAGATAATAAATATTTTATATATAAAAAAATCCTTTTAATTAAATATTTTTATTATGATATAAAATAATAAATCTTTATATTTCATCATCTCATCTTGTAATTTTTCTTTTTAAATGATTTGCTCTTTTCTTCACAAATCAACTTATCTCTTAATTTTTCATCCATATTTCTTTCTCTTATAGTACACTTACCCGATAAATCTAACTTCACTCACATGTTATACTGTTACTTTTGTTAACTTTCTTTCGTCTATATATTAAATTTTACTCATTTGGGTGTCACGTGCACCCAATAAGTTCATTTTTTTTTCATTTTTCATTATTTTTTTCCACTTCCATTTCCATTTTCGCTTCTGCTTCTGCTTCTGCTTCTTTTCATTTCTTTTCTTTTTTTTCATATTTACTAAATATTTTTTTATTTTTAAAATAAATTTGTGGGATTCATTTGATATTTTTGATTTAATTTTTTCCAAATACTTTTATTTTTTAAAATTAGATAATTTTTAAAAAAAATAATACAAATGGAAGTGTTAACGTAACACATATTTTTTTTTCCTTTTTTTGGCTCTTTGCTTTTTTTTTTTTATTTTTTTTAATTTATACATTGAATTTTGTAAGAAAATGAGACTAATGGAAGTGTTTGCATGGCACATCCATTTGGATTTCTTTTTTTTTTTGTTTTTAACTTTTTTAATTAGATAAAATTTGTAAGAAATAAGTCAATAGAGATACGAATGATAAAACAATTCGTATCTATTTTCAATTATCTTGATTCAATATGTGCATTTAAAAAAAAAAATTCAAGATCAAGTCAAGTTTTCTCTTTTAAAAATAAAGGTCAAGTTTGAGATGGGTTTAGCTGTTTAAGGTATTTTGCTTCACTCCAGATATTTATCAAAATATATATTATATTAATAAAATTATTATTTAATATCTTAATTTAATAAAAATATTATATTTATACATAATTAAGATATAATTTATACTAAAAAAATTTTATGAACATTAACTAAATTTAGATCATTTAATTAAATTTTGATTAATGTAGGTTAGATGTGAGTTGTAGAGTTATGTGTTGAGATTGGTTATAAAAAATAATAACTTGGAGTTGAGTCGAAATCGAAATTAAATTAAATTATTAAAAAATAGGTTAGAGTCAAGATGAGTATAAACCTGCTCACTCGTTGCCATTTTAAAATGAAAGTGTCAATGTGGCATTTGTAAGCACAAACTTAAGATCTTTATGTGAAAATTAAAACACCATACATGTATCAAAGAGATCAGGCATATCTGCTTGGATAGTTAACATGAAATTGCAAAAGCGAAATGATCTTGAAATGACTATAATCTTCCTCTTCACTTTTTTCTTTCTCGTAGTGATTTCTCAATAAGCAGTAACTGAATATGAGAAGTGAAGAGAGGGACCTTAGCTTGTTATTTAATTAACCTTAGCAATCTACCAATTAAAGTTTTACGAAGCCAAAGGTCTACGCAACCACTAAACCACACTGACCCAATAAGATGTGTAAAGGCCCACATTTAGGTGATCACATAAAATTAATTGAGCTCTCATACTTGTCTCGTATTATGACTAAATCCATAAGTCAATTTTACTAAAATAAAATCATCAATTAATAGTAGCCCACTTATAAAAATTTTAACATTTTCCCATTTGGCCAATATTATTTGGGTTGTTTGATTTTAAGAAAACTTGACTTGAAAACAAGACTCCAGGCTGATTTACTTTACTTTGATATGATTATAATTTTTAAATAATTTAGCCATTGAGATAATATTTTAATGATCTTGTCCAATAAAACCATATAATACTGAATCATGATAGCTTTTATGCCACATAAGACTAATCCACAGATATAAGTATTAGAGACTCTATTGACAATGGATCTCAGTGTGGCTATATAGCAAAAAAATAACACCTAAATGTGAACTCAATGTATTATTTTCATTGTCAGTCCTTTTGCAGATATCTCTAAACTTGCTGAGAAATCTCCATGGCATCTAGATATGTTTGGATGTCTTCTTAATATTCTCGAGGTCACTTGCTGGTATCATTTATAAAACATACCCAAAAGTTATTAAAGTTATATTTAAGACAGATACCAAATCTTAAAATTGATACCAAGTCTTAAGACTTTACCGTGTGTACATCAAATTTTAAAATTTCAAAGTGTACATGTACTAACATAATAATTAACAACATAGAATATTAATAAATGATGATTATTATTCAAGTATGGAATCAAATATCACATAGATATTTCAAATATAGACATAAGGGTCCAACATAAAGATAAACTATGATGTGTGAGTATAAAACACAATGATATACTCCTACTAATGAATTCCACAAAAAACCCTAGAATACCCATACTCTTAATATGTTTACTAAATATTATAGGTCTTAACCCTTTAGTCAAATGACCATTAATCATGTTGTTAGTGTCAATATATTCAACAACAATTTCACCATTTTTCATAAAATCGCTAGCTTAAGAACTTCCACTAGTGCTATTGTTGTTATTAGAAAACAACATAGCAAACTTATTATCACAATAAACCTTTAATGGTCTAGAGATGGAATCAATAATGGGAAGACCTAAAACGAAGTTCTTAAGCCAAATTGCATGTGTAGCAGCTCTATAGCATGTTATAAACTTGGCCTGCATGGTAAAAAAAGCTAAAAGTGTTTGCTTTATACTCTTTCAAGACACAGCTCCTCTAGTTAACATAAAAATATACCTTGATGTGGACTTCATGTCATCTTGATGACCAATAAAGTCAGAATCTATATACCCAATTATTTCAATATTGTCCACATTTCTATAGACAAACATATGATCTTTAGTCTTTGCAAGTGCCTCATCATTTTTTTAGCAATAATCCAATGTCCATATCGAGATTAGAAAGATATCTCTTATGAACTCTCACTACAAAAGTAATGTCTAACCTAATGCAAACTTGTGCATACTTGAGACTCCTAATTGCACTAGAATATTGTGTGTTCTTTATAAATTTTTTTTTAATCATTTTTTAGGCATTGACCAAGATTAAGTCTATCACTTTTTACAATGGGCATATCCATAGCCTTATAGTTTTGCATGTTAAACCTACTAAGCATACGATCAATGTAAGACCTTTTCGATAGTCCTAATAGATTTTGAGACCTATCTCTATGAATTTCAATCCTAAGAACAAAGGATGCATCCCCAAGATTTTTTATGTAAAAAATCTTGGACAATAATTGCTTAGTTTCATGCAACAAATCAATATCATTATAGGCCAACAAGATATCATTTATATACAAAACAAGAAAAATATACTTACTCCTATTGATTTTAAAG